TAACGTCTTAAGAGCTCAGTTTTTCTGGCTCTGCCAATGCTTTTTCCTTTCGATGAATAATATTACTTGCTTATGTCTCCAATTATGGAAATTTTATAATGTGTGCTTGTATTAGCACACTCTTTACTTCATCTTTGGATTAGCAGCGTTTATAATTAAAGATTAAAGTCAGATTCTTCAATCAGGACTCAAGCTGAAAGACAAGTAAATTGTCACCCTTTAAGCACTTCCCCTTTTAAGACAATGAAAATGAAGAAGTATAGTGGAATAAAAAGCTACAGAAAATTATTGGTGTTGGTGGGAGGAAGAAGTGGGAGAAAGCATCCATGGTTTGAGGATGTAATCCTATCCTCACATCAACTCCTCTCAAGTCAATGGGACTCTGCATGAAATATGCAACTTGAGGGATTGGAGAAAGCAATGGAGACACATAGGCTGCTGCATCTCCATGTATAAAATCAATCTTGTGGAATGGCATCCGAGTCCAATCAGAGATAATGGTCAGCTCATTCAGTTGAGGGAGACTGCCCTGAGGCCCATCTAATGCCTGGTTATACGCTATCACATAATCGTTGTTGATCGAATTCTTTGCTTCCTTTATCTTCTCAACAATAGCTTCACGGCTACCTGCCTCCAGTTCTTCAGCTGTTAATGCAACAGAGGCTAAAACATAAGCGTTGCCACTGAAACCTTTTGGCAGCTGGGGCACCATCTTGTTCCTTATGTCCACTGCAAATTGCAAGCAAACCATTGCTCCCTTCCTCACTCCTAAAGCCTTAGTTCTTGCCTGAGAGTAAAAAAAATATGATCATCTTCATAAATTGCTTTTGTTATTGCAATATTATGATGATTTATATCACATAATTTACTTACCTTCCATAAGTGAGCTGCAAGCAGGTCAAAGGATGAACACGAAAAGCTGCCTCTCCTCTCACCGAAGACCTTGCTTTTTAAGCTTTCAATCATTGCACTACTGAGGTGGAATGTCTTGAGAGCAAGATTTGAGTTCCACACACCAGGAAGTGTTCCAGTTGCAAATTTCATATCAGGACCAGAAGATTGAGCAGTCATAGCCTGTTTTATCAACCATTATAGATGATCTATGGCTACAGCCCTTGTCACTGATTTCCCACTTTCAGGTAAATTTATAAGCCTCCGATTGTCTACTAACAATGTCCCCCTCTCATGCACGGGTTTGAAAAGCTCGGTTCCTCTCTTTTGTTTCAAAATAGCAGAACTAGAAGCCCATGCATGGAGAAAATCATAGGTGGCTGGTCCATCAAACAAAGAATGGCTCGCACCAATACCTATTGAATAGCCTCCACAACCAAACCTGGTAACCTACATCATATAATATAACTTTGTTCGGTATGCTAAGTGCTTCAAAAGAATCAGGACGGGGTTTATTATAGAAAAATGTTCTCACCTGAGCAACAACTAAAGGCATCTCCGAGAAGTTCCCATGAAAATCAGGCTTGTAAACCAGATGCTCGAAGAATTCATTGTACTGAGAAAGATCTCCAAGTTCAATGATCTTAACATCGGTAACTGCCTCGACGAGAACTGCACCACCATTGTTGCACCAAAGGTTAAGCTTACCATCACTCGGATTCAAGTTCAACCTACCTGCAGCTGGATACCAAATGCAAAGTGTCTCTTCCAACCCAGATTTCAAGCAATTGAAAATCGAACCCAGACACAAGTTCTGGAAAGCACCAGAAGATTTGTAAAAGAAAACTACGTACATCAGCAAAGGACACTGCCTGTCCAAATTGGACAGATGAATAATTTGTTGTGGATGTAAGGATTTTGGGAATACGGAAACTGTCTTAATAACCCGAACAGTTGTTGGAGCATTCTCATCATGTTTGGTAGCCATGGATGTTTCTTTGTTGCTCCCTTTTGTTGTGAGAAACAGAAGGAAATGAAAATGTATATTTATAAAGGGAAGAGCTTAGATTCCTAGGAGCAAACTTATGTCTCTTCATCGATTTATTTGTATTGTTTTATCAGATGGGGAATGGTTCATAGTGCTCATGCCTTATATTAAACTAATGCTTTGCGTGGTACTGTTGTTTGTTGGTATTATCTGGCTCGCACTTCCAAGGGATCGATGGTCACCTACTACTTTTATATACTCCAAACTCTCATAACATCATCAAGTGATGGCCCCTCATGTTTTAAAATAATTTATTTTAAATAATTTATTAGTATGGATTGATTTATTTTAAAATATGGATGTTATTTTAATAATTTATTAGTATCGATTGATTTATTTTAAAATATGGATTGATTTATTTTAAATAATTTATTAGTATGAATTGATTTATTTTAAATATAGATTGATTTATTTTAAATAATTATTTGTATAGATTGATTTATTGAAAAATATGGATTGATTTATTATTGTAGTTTATGGATTGATTATTTTAAATAATTTATTTGTATTGATTGATTATTTTAAAATATGGATTGATTTATTATTGTAGTTGTATTGATTGATTATTTTAAATAATTATTAGTATCGATTGATTATTTAAAATATGGATTGATTTATTATTGTAGTTGTATGGATTAATTATTTTAAATAATTTATTAGTATGAATTAATTTATTTTAAAATATGGACTGATTTATTTTAATAATTTATTAGTATGGATTGATTTTAAAATATGGATTGATTATTTTAAATAATTTTTAGTATAGATTGATTTATTTTAAAATAATTTATTGTATGGATTGATTATTTTAAAATATGGATTGATTTATTATTGTAGTTGTATGGATGATTATTTTAAATAATTTATTAGTATCGATTGATTTTTTTAAAATATAGATTGATTTATTATTGTAGTTGTATGAATTGATTATTTTAAATAATTTATTAGTATGGATTGATTTATTTTAAAATATAGATTGATTTATTTTAAATAATTTATTATTGTAGTTGTATGAATTATTTAAATTTCAGTATTGTAAAATAAAATTATTTAAATCTCAGTATTGCAAAACTCTTTTAAGTTTAAAAAATCAGTTTATTATTTCAGTTCATTTTAGTAGTCTGCAGACGTTAAAAACAAACAGTCTTCTTCTTGTAGACTGCAGACTTTTGGTCCACCTCTTCTGCTGCAGATGCCTGCAGATGTGGTCCGCAGACTGCAGACCTTTTACCTCTGCAAAAACATACACCACCTTAGAATGGATTAATGCCGGTAAATATCCAATTGTGAAAAAAAAACTTCGAAACTTTTATTAAATAATGTAAAAAAAACTTAAAAAAAAAACAAAGTTACTTTCTCAAAAATAAAGTCAAAAATATCAAAACCCCTCAATGAATATGAAAAAACAAAAACCGACTCGAAATGAACCAAATTAAAATAGATGATTCAAAAAATCCGACCAAACCAACCTCTCCACCCTAGTTTCTTCTATTGTCATAACATTACATGGCGGTTTACCTAATTTTTACTGGAACTAGGCCTGAATTTTAATCCGCTATTTTACTGCAATATAGGAGGAGGATCAGACCCTGTTAAATTTATGTCAATTTCTTCAGTAGTTGGTTTTAGCGGTTCAGATTCCATAGGAGAGTCCTCCATCTCAATTTTGTCCCCACGAGTGGCCGTTGGTTAACAGGTGAAGTGGACCTTGTTTCACTGATCTGTGATTCAGTTACCATGTGCAACTGTACCGACTATAGGCTGCCCCGAATGCTCTGCTGGTGAAAGAATCCGAGATATATGTTCCCCACGAGCTTCTTCCGAAGAAGGGGAGTTCTTCGAATCAAGGCAACATAGAACTCGATGTCTCGCAGATAAGCAACAACTTGGGAAAAACAAGAAAGCTGTTAAACAGAAACATCTCGACCCTTGATCCCACTTGCTACAATTTTCCATTTCCAGAATCCTGAACAAAGATTGCAAATATCCTACCACCTGATACCTTACTGTATCAAAACAATCATGATACCTTACTGTAATGCTGAGCAATTCCACTCGTTCTGCATCATCATTGAAATTTCTTTTGATGCGGTAGAATGCTAATTTTAGTCAGCATGAAAGCAAACCGCCGAAAAATAGTGGATGATTGAGGACCTATCATCTGGTAATACTTTCATATTATGAACAATATCTAATCTACATTACCTGGTAATCCTTCAAGGAAACTAACGTCTGGCTAAAACTTAAAAAAAGAAAAGAAAAAAGAATGCTGCCTTACTATGATGGAATTAACTCGGTCTTCTATATGAGAATGGTGCTCAATGGGAGAATGGTGTCTGATAAATTGTGAACAGGTAATAACTATTCTCAACCAATTTTATACTGCAAAAAATTACATATTACCATTTATATCTATTGGAAGTGTTCAATCTCTTGGGAAGGGATCCCTATTGACCGTTCCTTTGGCATTTCTGCAACCTCTCGTCTGTTCTCGAGCTCTACAAGCCTTTCACCTCATTTGTTTTCATCTCAGCCTAGGAGCAAAATCAAGGATAAGAGCAAACAGTTAAGTATGGAAACATTTGAAAGCAGCATTTAAATTAAATGTTCATGCAACAATCAAAAACCCAATTTAGCAATGTAGATTGAAACATTGAGTTAATTCCACAAGGATAGGAGTACACAATTCCCAGTATTCTAGCTCTCTGAACTACATCATCAAAAAACCAAGAGGAAAGGTCCTTTCATTTCAAGTATGTCAATCAAGGTTGCTCAAAGAACATCCAACAACATTTCACGTTAACAGCCGGGGGGAGGGAGGATAGTACAATATTACTATATGCACCATATTCGAAATAAATGAAGAAATATGAGCTCATCAATAATTACTCCCATCTCCAAGAAGAGTTGACCCTTGTCATTCATAGCAAGAAACTATAGAGCAATGACAATCAACATTTTTATGCCCACACTAGAATAATTGGATTTGGACCTCAAGGAGTTCAGAATTAACACAAACTGTTATGCATAGAGGAAATAGATTAAGAGGATAAAATCTAAATTGAATGCAACACAAATGATTAAAATTATTATTGAAACACTAACTGCGTAATTTATACACGACTTCAACTAGGAAACCAGTTAAGGTTTCAGTTACAGTGCAAGCAAAGGAGATAAGCTCCCAACTAAATTAACAATCATTTTTGCCAATGTATACAAATAAAATTTAAGCCTCACACTGAAAGTAGTCCACATTCATCGAACTTTTCCCAATTATTTTTCCTTCTAATTAGTATTCTGTCCATTTTCAACCCCAAAACCATACAACACGCCTGCATATTTCTCTGTGGAGCCATTGAAGAAGTTATCTCTCAACTTCCTAAATGTGCATGATGTGAGCAAACTATCCGAGCCAGCTTGGTGACACACACCGACTCTTTCCACTTCCAACAACTCAGCAAGCTTGTTCAAACCACCATGTAGGCTATTGCAAAACTTCATCATATGCTTGATATCGTACAATATGGGAAAATACATGTTGATCAAATCAAAGAATCCTGCTTGGTTATCAGGCAAACTCCTGCAAGTTAAAAGCTTTAGCAAGTACCCAAAATCATATCCACAATGAAAAGTTACCCAATTCACACAATCATTCAGCACAATCCCGGACGACATCAAAAGCTCCCCAAACCGCATCACATCGATACCCTTTTCATTGTTCTTCTTAAAATCAATCCCACACTGATGCAACAGCTCGATGGAATCACTAGCAAATATATCTTGGCTTATATCGAACTCGCAGAAATTGAATTGCCAAATGCAAGAGCTATCAGTTCCGCAGGTGGGCAGATTCCCATTCTCATCCGAAAAAGTGAGACCCAACTGGATCAACTTCAACATATCCACATTATCTTTCAAAGTTTGGTAGTTATAATCGTTGATGTTCTTGAAAGATCCAACGGGGCGTAGAACTACACCCGGGAACTCGGTATCCATAGCTACATAATTGTAAGTGTCAACAATTTCACGGATCAACGCAAACTCTTCTTCTAGATTATCATTCCAAACTTCTCGAATATGAACCGAATCACCTTTGGGTAAAATCGACATTTCCAGTAGACCAAATCAAAGCTAAGCACACCCAAATTTCAACCTTGAAAACTGAAGCTCGTACGAGTTGAGTTCCAAAAACGGCGGTATTTAGATGGTGGAAACAGATCTAAAAAAGAGTAAACGGGAAAAATCAGATTTTGAAACTTTGAACTATTGGAATTGGCAAAGAAACCGTATAAAAAAGTGAAGAGACGAGATCTAACCTTGGAACTATGAAATCGGGCCTTGTAAGTAACAGATCTAGAGCTTGTAAACAGTGAATCGAGTATCGAGTGAGTCGAGAAATTAGGGTCAACGAGTCAGGGGAAAAGAGGAAATCAAGGGGGGAAATGCGGACGAGGTTAGAGCCCTATACTTTCTGGGTTCATCTTAAAGGCAAGTGGCTACAAGGGATAGTGATTTCAGCCAATGATGGACAATGTCAAAAACGATGGCGTTCCCACTTGGATGTTCTTTTCATTACGACGCCGTTCGTAATTGGCTTTTTCAGTCCAAAAAAAACCTGCTAAAATTGGAAATATTTTATTTTTCGCATGACTGATGAGGATAGAGAGAACATTGGAGTTGGACTGTACTAGAAAGAAGGTATAAACCCTATCTGCATAGGGTAAATACATCCTATTATTTTAAAATAGTAATTAAATTTAGTTTAATGTACTAAGAAAAAAATTATAATTTTAATATACCTATTTTTTTTTTAAAAAATTAAAAAAATTTACCCTAATTTTTAAATTTCTAGATCCTTCACAGCTACCACGTTGTCATTTCTAGACAAATTTTATTGTTAGTCTTGTACTGTATAAATTATGCATTTAGATTTTATATTTATTTTAATTTTAATATAAAAATATAAATTAAAATAATTAAATTCATAAATTACACATATAATATATAAATTAATAATGAAACTGAACTTAATAAATTTTATGATTACTATTTAAATTATTATCCAAATTTTAAAAAGTGACCTTTACTTTTTTTAATATAAATTAAATATGTCATTTACATATAATATAAAGATTAATAAAAGAATCTTACCTTTATTTTTATTTTATAATATAATTATAGTGAAAAAACAATAAAAATATGAGACCCTAAATATTCGTTTTGTTGGACAAGGTGTTTTGGAATAAGAAATTAATAAATTGAAGGAAATTGTCGTAAAAAGTAAATATAAATTGAAAAGTGGTATCACTTGTGTCAAATTACTGTTGTGGTCGTCAAAAACATGAGACATTGGCAAGTCAAAGTTGTGTTGTAAATTAAAGTCTGTTTAGAAGAGCCGACAACGTAATTGGATTGAGTGGACCTGGTAGCATTAGTTAGGTGATTGTTTAATTAAGTTTGGGGTCCAATTATTCGACTGAAATTCATTGCATTCACTTGCGTCCTTTTCTTTTAATAGTTAAGATTCATTAACAATGAACCATCAAAAGTTATTATTAACGTGAATTATCAGAACCATGCATGCCACTAATATTATAAATTGTTATTTTATATATATATATATATCGTATAAACCGTTTCAAACGCATCATTTTATATAAATAAATTTTTTATATTAATCCACAATAATTACAAGGTAGTATCATATTCTAAATATTATTAACTATTTAATAATAAAAGTTTAAATATTTCTATAGTCTTTAGTACTTGAATCTAGGGGCGGATGCACTAAACCCCTAAGGGTCAAGTGCATCCCCATTATTTAGGAAAAAAATGAAATTTAGTATAATATATTATAGAAAAACAGAACAAATAAAAAATGTGTACCCCATTTATAAATTTCTGGATTAATTACTGCTTGAATCTAAAAATTTTAGGGATTGCAATCATTCCCTTAACAATTGAGACTTTTTGATTCGTGTTATATAAATAAAATAGAATTGTGCATCTAGTTTCGTTTAACTTAATTGGAGATACATCGTTGTTTGTATTCGTAGGTAGGGTTGGGTTTGGGCCAACCCGACCTGACTCGGAAATTTTATATACTTCACTCGATCCGATCCGAAAAATATATACTCTCCACCTAATACGAACATAACCTGACTATTTGAGATAAAATCTGAACCCGACCCGATCCAAAATAATAAAAAATATTATTTTTATTCAATAAAAACAATGATTTAATTGAAAAAAAAACAATATATAAAGTGATATTATTGTAATTATTCATATATATATATATATAAGGTAAAATTATATTTTTTTAGGTCGGTCACTTATTTTTCACCCTAAATTCAAATCCGACCCGATTCAAACATAACATTTAAAAAAACAACCCGTTTAAAAAAAACTCCGACCCGATCGGATAAGAACCCGTCAGATTTGGATCTCATACCCATCCCTGTTCGTGGGTAAAACTCCTGAAGGAAATTAGGGTTTGTAATTGTAATTATGAAATAGATTTTGTCTTCAACCGTTTTCTCTGAAATTTCTCTCTCTATTGTTCTGTTGCACTCTTCGATTCTTCATAATCTTCTGTTAATTCTTTGTTCTAACTACATCAAAGGTATCAGATACGCCGTTTCTGGATCATGTTGAGATTGAATATAGTTTTTCTCTTCAAATTTTCTTTGATTCCTCTTTGAATTGTCGTCTTTCTTCTGTTAATTTTTTACGTTCTTTTTTAATTTATGTCTGCTTTGTTTGTTGCTTCATCGATTCCTTTATTTCTTAGTTTTTATGACTATTTTGCTTATTGATAGTAAGCTTTCTTTGTTCTTCTGATCTACAGCCTTGATGCATATATAAGAGCTGCAACATTGAATGAAAAATACATGGAGAAGGATACTCCTGCTCATGGCCTTAGATTAGGCGATAAACAAGTGGATTCGAGCTTGAGTATTATTAAGTTCGATTATTATTAAATTTAATTTAACTTGAAAAATTTAGAGTTGAGTTCAACACTACTCGAAATTCGCAAGTTTAAAGTTGTCAAATTCAAGAACTCGAAATCAAACATTGAAGTTCGACTCATTTCGAAAAAACTTGAACTTAAAATATTCTCAGATTTAACTCGATCGAAGCTTAAACTTGAACTTCAACCTTAAACACATGAAAACTTTACATTATATCCTTTTTAAAAAAATACCACATACAAATGTTAATAATAAGTTAATTTAAAAATTAAAAATTAAATATATTTTTTTGAGTTACTTACAAGTTTTTTTTAATAAGATATCAAGTATCTTGTTTTGACTTGTTACGAATTTGAATCGTGTTAGAGTTTAATTCAAATTTATTCAAAATAAATATTGATCAAGTTTTAATTGAGTCAAACTCAAATAACAGAGGTTGGTTTAAGTAGTAAGCAACTTCTTACACAATATCTTGAGTTTTTAGTTCTTGTGTATGCAAAAAAATCTCTGTTGAAGACTCACCCACCAAAACCAGGTGAACAACGCAAGACAAATCCTTAGAATAGGGAGGGCAACCAAAAAAATTCGGCTCAACTCGAAAAAATCGAATCGAATTAACTTCGAGTTGTAGTTTCATAAATTTGACTTGAAAAATTTTCAAGTTCAAATTGAGTTGTAAAACACAACTCAAATAGTAACTCGAATAACTCAAAATTTTAGTAACAAGTAGATTGATTTTCACGTTTAAGTCGAGTCACTCAACTCTATAGGATATATGTATATTATATATGAAAAAAATATAAAGAAATATATATATATTGTATACATTTATAAGAATACAATTTAAATTGAAATCTAATAATATCATTATATTATTAAATATTTACAATTAAATTTAAATATAAAAATAAGAATTCAACTCAACTCAATTTTATAAACTCGACTCGAAATTTTTTTAAGTCAACTTCGAATATAAAATATGATTCATAAAATCAAATAACTTAAAATTTTTTAACTCGACTAGACTCGTTCGAACACTCGTTCGTACGCATAGTCGCTTCTCTTATAGGCTACTTCATGCTATCGTTTCCCTAAAAATGGTTGGGTTTTAACAATTTTTTGTCTGTAATTATAAATAAGGTAATCTATATAAATAGTCATAAACGTTTGAGTAAGATTTTATCTTTTTTATTAAATTTAAAAAAGTAATAAATTAATCATTAATATTATCATTTGTAACAAATTAATTATTAATTTTATCGATTTGTAGTAAATCAATCATTCACCATTAACAATTATTACTATAAGTGACGCTAACTGATGATTTGACTATCATTTTTCCACATAAGATGACCGCACATACCGGGTTTGACTCCTCAAACACAATTCTAAGACCGATCCCTCAATTCCACAACCGTTAACTCTAAAGACACTGCTAACCTCAATCACAAGACTCAATGGGAGAGTGCTCGCTGCACCCTCTTCCCCTGCTCCGATAACAAGACTGTAATGTCTCGATGTACTCAAAGCAGAGAACACAACTAAAATGAAAAGGTACATTTTTTAAAAATATGAGAAAGTACCTACATTTTTAGATCAATAATAATTTTTTTATTTCATATGAGATTAAGACAAACAACATTTGACAACCCATAACAAGAATGACTTCTTGCATTTGATGAAAGAAATGATGTCAAAATCTCCCCCACCATCAACTACCTCCCTTTGGTTTTAGAGTGATCGATCCAAGATTGAGAGCAATACCCCGAGTCTTGCTCCTTATCCTAATGTACCCACCAAGTTTCCCATGTGCTTGTTTCTCAAATACAATCCAATTTACCGGGAGATCCTTCCCAAACGCACTTTTTGCATGCAGGCTAGCGATCAGAAATCCACACTCATCATCTAACGTAATCTCGAACACAATTTAACTGTAAAAACAGAATGACACTAGATTGAATTAATAATGTTAACTTCTTAGAAAATTTTATTTTGAGTCACATAACCAAAATAGATACATTCTGAAAACAATATTAATATTAATTTGTTATTTTACAAATTCATCATGAAAGATTCGTTAGATTTTTAGAATAAAGTGTCACGTAAAACTTACATTGGTGTGAGATACTTCATAGTGGTTGAGTTTATTTGCATCATCAGTATCGTTAACAAACTCTCCAGTTGTACGTTCTAAATACCTTAACCTCATCCTCAAATCCAGTTGACTCATACCCTGGAAGCATCGTGTTATCCATGAAGTCAATGTTGACGTCAGAGAATGCATACTGTCAACGTTGAAAGTGAACAACCCCGAGACCACGCCTTACCATGCTTCGAGTACATCGAAGCATTGCAATCTTGTTGTTGGAGCAGAGGAAAAGGGTGTAGCGATGTGGTTTTTGGGAGGGATGTTTTGGGACGACTAGTTTGGAATCTCGGACCAATCTAGCTTCAGCTTCTGAGCGAGCACTCTCCCTTTGAGCCATGTCACTGAAGTTAGCAGCATCTTTAAGGATAATGCGGTGGCGGAATTGAAGGAGTATTTTAGGGTTATAAAAAAATGGTCAATCACCAATTTAATGTCCCATCAATTTTTTATCACCTACATAATAGTTGTTAATGATAAATGATCACTTATTACAAATTGATAAAATTAATAATTAATTTAATATAAATGATAAAATTAATGATTAATTTATTACAAATTGATAATATTAATAATTAATTTATTTATTTTCAAACTTCAGTAAAAAAAATTGCTCAATATTTGTGTAGTTTACCCTATAAATAAACAACCCTAACAAACAAATGCTTCTCTCTACATTTCCGAAAAAAGACGGAATAAATCACTAAAAGAATACTGGTAAAATGAAGAATTAGCTCTTCTTCTTCCTCTCGAATTTGAATTTTACTTCTCTCATGGCCAAATCTGCCTTCTTTTTTCTCTTGCAAATGTAAAGTTTTGATTTTGATTTTGCAACAACAAAAAAATGGCCAAGTGTCACAGAAACGACATCGGATCCGTAGCCATCGATCGCCCTTCCACCATCAGTACTACGGGCAACAATTTCAGATTATGGACAGCCTTCTCTGGCACCGCATTCCGAAGGAAAATCTTCGACGCAGTAAGTTGTGGAGCAAGCTCCCGCCACCGCGATCAGCTCATGCAAGAAATTCTTAGCGACACCGTCTCTCAGCAGCCTCCGCCCACAACCACAATGAAGTCGGCTTTGAAAGAGTTCAATGAGCCGAGAAAACCAGACAAAGCAGTGAAGAAGCCCATCAGAAATGGCAGGTCGGAGAAGCTAGCGGATCTCTTGAACTTAGTTGAAACTAAAACTGACGCCGAGACTAAGAGGAAAGTGGAAGCTTTGGAGGAGTTGAAGATCGTGGTTAAGGAGTTGCAAGGGGAAGACAAAGAAAGTAAGAGAAAAGCTGCGACTAGAGTCAGGTCTCTTACTAAAGAAGACTCAGAAGCCAGAGTGACTTTAGCCATGCTCGGAACCATTCCGCCGTTGGTTGCAATGCTTGATTTTGAAGATTCCGATTCACAGATCGCTGCTCTCTACGCTTTGCTTAATCTGGGAATCGGAAATGGCACGTGAGTTTCCGAAATTTTCATTTTTTTCTAAGCAAATTGTTATTTTCCGAGTAAATAATAAGCATTTTCTACTGTTTCTAATCTTAATTGGCAATGCTGGGGTTTTTTTAAAGGGAAAATAAAAATGTCTGAAATGATTGAATGTAATTTGGTTTGAGAAGTCATTTTCCATGTTTTTTTCTTTCATGTCCTGTTATTTTTTTGAAACAGATTCGGATTTGCATAATAATGCATTTAATTATTTTTTAATCTGATTCATTTCCTTTACCTTTAATCTTTCCAGCTGACATTTTCTGAGCACAACCTGTTGCAGGAACAAGGCATCCATTGTCAAAGCAGGGGCTGTTCACAAGATGCTCAAGCTTATTGAATCACCAAATGAGGCAGGCGAGGTGATATCGGACGCTGTTGTAGCAAATTTCCTTAGCTTGAGCGCCTTGGATTCAAATAAGCCTATCATTGGATCTTCAGGGGCTATCCCTTTCTTGGTAAAGTCCCTCAAGATTTTGGACACAAAAACTAGGTCTCAAGCCAGACACGATGCTCTTCGAGCTCTTTATAATCTATCGATCTTCCCGTCCAACATTTCCTTCATGTCGGAAGCCGATTCGATACCTTGTCTGTTGAATGCATTAGGAGACATGGAAGTTAGTGAAAGAATTCTTTCGATTTTGAGCAATGTAGTGTCCACTCCAGAAGGTACAAAGGGGATTAGTATTGCATCGGAAGCATTCCCGATTTTAGTGGACGTGTTGAATTGGACCGACTCGCCGGTGTGCCAAGAGAAGGCATCGTATATTCTCATGGTAATGGCACATAAAGCGTATGGAGACAGACATGCCATGATCGAAGCAGGCATCGTTTCGGCATTGCTTGAGCTAACACTTTTGGGTAGTACATTGGCACAGAAGAGAGCTTCTAGGATTTTGGAGGTCTTGAGAGTGGACAAAGGGAAGCAAGTGTCGGAGAACAACTTGGATGGGAACATGAATGCAGCAGCTGTATCGGCTCCAATTTGCAGCTCTTCGAGAAATCCGAACGGAAGGGTGTGCTTGGTGGAAGAAGAAGGCATGATGAGCGAGGAGAAGAAAGCTGTTAAACAATTGGTCCAACAGAGTTTACAGAACAACATGAGGAGAATTGTGAATAGGGCCAATTTGCCACAAGATTTTGTTCCATCAGAACTTTTCAAGTCACTCACAGCAAGCTCTTCAAAGAGCTTACCCTTTTGACCCATTGTATTGCATGAAGAATGAAGATGGCATGTAGTTTTAGCCAATCCATTGTGCTTCTTTTTTAGGTAGCTTTTCTCAATGTATGATATTTCCATTGTCAATATTCAATCGCCATTTGGTCCAGTTCAAAGAATAACATCAAATCCATGGTGTGTGTGTGTGATTTGTGATTCATCTGATATGAGCTCTGGCCTGCTAGCATTAAATTAATAAGTCAACGATCTGAATCTGACTGACGAACTCTGCTCCAAGTGATTCCTGGTTGTCGGTGGTATGCCATGCAAAACTGGGCAATACAAAGGTTGATTTTGTCAAATTAGATTCATCTGTAGCCCTACCACCCTATAATCAAGGTCGAGTCACTTTCAATCCACTTGAAGGTACAGCTTTGTCCAAAGCCATGGCGCTATGCCTTTAATCCCATTTTTTTATTGGGTCAATATGTATCTTAATTATAAGTTTGGTGATAAATAAGTTGTATTATTAAAATATTATTACAAGCAAATTGTTACATCTTTAAAATTTAAAACAAACATCTAATGAGTTATAGTATAATAATATTTTAATTTTCAAAGTTTATACAATCTATATTTTTTTTTGATAAGTAAGAATTTATTATCCAGAGAGCAGTAGCTACAAAAATGATCCAAAAGAGAGTATAAACAATACTTACAACAAAATAATGGTTAGTATACCCCAATTACAACAAATATTATAGTTAACAGTATCATTTCTATTGATATTTTTCCACTAAGCTGAATCCAGACAATTTCCTTGATGGTTGACAGAAGTTGTGCAGCCTCTCTAGTTCTTTGTTGGAAAATTCTTTTATTCCTCTCCTCCCAAATCGCATAGATGTAGGAAGTCCATATAATTTTCAGTAGGATGAGATTAAAGATTTACCCCTCCATTCATCACAAGCCCATTCAATCATTGTTTCCAAGATATTTGGGGTTTACGCAAATGAGTCAAGTTTAAGATAGAATTCCACAGAGTTTTAGCAAATCTACATTCTGCAAAAAGATGGTTCCTAGATTCGATAGTCTCATTGCATAGAACACATTGAGCATCATTGAGAATTCTCATCCTTGGCAGTCTTTCCCGAATTGGAAGTCTATCTAGGATGGTCATCCAAGCTATCATACTAATCTTAGGAATATGCATAGGGAACCATATGATTTTGTGCCAAGAAACCTTACTCTTTCTTTCTCTGACAGCTTCCCAAATATCTTTAGTGTAAATTGTTCGTGCATTCAAAATGGGAAGAACATCATGTCTCAGTTTCAGAAGTTTTTTAATACTTCAGCTGCGTTACTTGCAACCATGTCACATCTGTATCTTTATCTTGACTTGAAACAATTTAATATATTTAATTTTTTATATTTTAAAATTGCATCAATTTAGTTCCTTTTAATGATTTTGTCAAACTAAATTAGTCTATTAGATTAAAGTAATAGTACGAAGACAATTAGAATTAGGGATGTTTTTTTTAATGAGACCCTGTTGTTTTGTGTTTTGTATGGATTATTAGTAAAATCGTACGAAACTATTTTTTTTAAAAGAAGAGAGAATATTTTTTAATTTGAAGAGTTAAATTTATTAAATTATTTCGATTTAGGACAAATTTGATAAATTATATAAAATTTAAGGATTAAAATTATTATTATATCATATCATATTCCTATTTCGATTAATATTTAATAATATATTAATAATAATATTTGAATTAAATGACCTATTTATAACTTTAAAAAATTGTATATTTATCATCAAATTAATTATGATTTAATTTTTCTTTTAATTTCACACGCACCCATGAAGCAAAAGAGGTGTCGGACATTTTCTCCTGTACAGAATCAAACAAGGACCGTTCTTTGCAGTTTCATTTGGGAACCTATTCCACTTTGTAAACATTTCTTTTATAAAAATTTAAAAAATAATTCTAACTGATAAATTCATTTGGAATCTCTAGAGTCGAATTCAAGCAAGTTTTGCATCTGTAGTGGAAACATAAACTTGTAAAATAGATTCATCTGCAGTTCATACACCTTGCTTCCCAGCCTACACCCTAGTTTCTATAGGCATGTTCGAGTCTTATTTCCGGGGTGTAAACTGAAATATTTTTGTAATTTATAAGCGTAGATGTGAAGTACTGCTCCTTACCCATTTCCTGTCCCTTTGATCTAATATACAAACCCATTTGTGTGTCGCGTCCTTCTTTTGAATTTTTAAATAGAAAGTGGGCATAAAAGCTCCCATTTGGCTTAATCCAATGTACATTTTGTTGCCTTAAATAATTGTCTTTGATTTCCCTTCTTGATATATTATTATTATTATTATTATATATAAGTAAAGGGGTAATTACATTTACATAATTAGTCCCTTCAAAAAATTTAAAAAATCGTTTTAGGTCATTTCAGCATTTGTTTAAATAGGAAAACTGTATTTTTAATCACTCCAGAAAAGTTAATAATATAACTTAATCCTTGTTACCGGCTTCGTCCTTTCTCGGTGGAATAAAATCTGCTATATATACTTTGAACAGGCAAGTATGGCCGGTGAAGAAACAAAACATGCAGCATGCAACATGGGAATACTGCTGAAGGGAACAGATCTTTTTCCTTTTTTCTGTTTGGGTTACGAGAAAATCTAACAGAGTGGACAGGATAGGGTTAGGGGGATGGTTTCTTAACAGATCTTGAATGAGGATTGTGGATGATACATTATTATTTGTATATAAACTAGCATAATTTAATACGATATATGTGCATAATTTAATTATATCATATTCTAAATCTTGATTTTTTCTTTACGACTTGATTGAAGTCTCGTTAACTTAAATCTAAATATTTAAAATTTAATAATGAATTTTATCATGTTAATGTTAAATCATTAGGAGTAGATGTCGATGATTAATTATAAGATTGGAAGGAGAAAGAAAAGGTTCGGTAGGCGATGATTAGTTGGAATTGATGCTATACATTTTGTTTTTCCAATAAATGTCACATGACATTCAAAGATTGATAATAAAGGGTAGGGATGGAGATGGTGAAATGGAATGAGTCGATTTTTCATTAAAACGAGCTAAAGATATTAAGAGTAATTTAGCGAATGGGGTCACTCATGGGCATGTGAAAGATGAAAAGAATGGAAGGGCAACCTATCCTTTTTAGATGCCATGCCTCCTTTGTGGGGCACATTTTGAGCCCAATTATTCATTTTATCTGCCCACTTTGTCCCTCCATCTTACTATTTGTTTTAGAATTATTGATCTTTTGCTCTATGAAACTGTTTGTAGCGAATAATTATGTTTCTATGGGATTTATAGTATAAGAATTTGTTAAATAATTTAACTCAAGAAAAGTAGTCAAAATTTCATCTACTAATATTTAATATTAATTTGACCAACATCCTAACACCAGGTTGAGAGCAGCTTCCATAGGAGACCTCCGAATTATGAAATACCTTCCGTGAGACTTGATCACACGACTTCAAGGTTAAGAACCTTGTGCTCTACCAACTGAGCTAGATGATCATTTCAATTTGACCAACATGAATCAAACAACCTTAATAGTTAAAGGGGTGATAACAATCACCCTTACTAATAAAATAATATATTAATTTAATAATCATTTTTCATTCTATTTTTATTTTTGCACGATTTATAAGTAAGTTCTACTTGTTTATATGTACAATAATAATTAATATATTTTAAAATAAAATAAAAATATTAATGAATTGAACCTCGACCAAAAAAATACATAAAATTATAACATTATATTCTCTCTCGCATTATATATATGCAAGAGGACCACTCTCAACTCCATTATTAATCACATACACATACATAGCAACACAAACTTTTACAGTATGAAAATTGTTCTTTATGAAAAATAAAAGTGATGATGGAAATTGGAAAGAAAGGGAGCACTGAAGATTAACCATTACCCAAGTAAATAACGAAATATATATAATGTTTCTATTTGATACATTACTATTATATATTTTTATATGTTTCTAATAAATAATATAATAATATATCATTAAAAATAAATTTAATTTAAAATTTTATAATAACATACGGTCATTTAATTTATTGACAGGGTGATAATTTTATACATGATCAGTCATTAAATATAAATTCACATTTATATGATTTAACTTTTAAACTATTTATTATTAAATATTTTCAAACTCTGAAAATTAAAAATTATTGTACATTTAAATACACTCAAATTTTATATATTGCAACTGCATATATTAATACAACTAAAATGAACAAAATATATTTAATTTCTTTTACAAAGAGCTTTTGATAGAAATTGAGACCTTTTATACACATGGTGATGGGTACGACTTTTATATTCTTAGGACCACTTTTTTTATATATATAGAGACGGAGTCTTTTTATAACACATGGTAATAGGCATGTTGGAGCGAGAGGCCCAATTCAAAAGCATGCAGGACAGAGGCACAAGAGAAGCAATAGCCATTAAGCGCCCAGTCTCTCTCGTTCTCAACATAAAATATTTGTAACAAATAATAATAATAATCCGGTCAGCTCATGGAATGGGTGAAGTACAAGAGACTTGGCGCCGGAGCATTTGGAGCAGTGTATTTAGCAAGCCAGTTCCCCAATTAGTTGCCGTCGAATATAGTTCATGCCCCAGCTCTTCACTTCAAAAGGAAACTAGGGTCCTTCCTCGATTTTTTATCGTTCAATGCTACAGTGAATTTATAACCATTGAAGATTAGAAAACAGATCATAACCTGCTACTCGGCAATCTCTTGAATTTCCAGAATCCGATGTGATGTACTATGCTAAGATGATTGTTGAAGGGCTTTGTGTTATTCATGAAAAGGGTTATGTCCGTTGTGATATCAAACCGGAAAAATATTTTGGTTTATTGTTCTAATCAATCCGGTCGTCTCAGTACTTTGAAGAGCACGGATAAAGAGATGATGATGCAATAGTATGCCCTTATCAACGAGGTACTTCAAATTAAATTTCCCCGGAATCTGCGTACGAAGGGAAAATCAGAGCTGCAAAAGGATATATGTCCATGAACAGTAAAGATTTCTGATGAGGTGCTTTTCTATGTATCCCACTCAACGATGGACTGCAATCAGGCTTCTAACTCATGAATTTCTTTGTCCCAATCACGCACAATAGAAAATTCTTCTTCCACATGTTATATGATTGGTTTCGGACTGAATTAAGTTTGAATATATACTGCTTATATTTCTATTTGTATGGTCTAGCACACAACGGGGTTTTAGAATATGCTTGAATGAGAAGTTGGCTTTGTAGTAGAAGACAAAGAAAAATCATGAATCATTAGGAGGGCCATATCTGATTAGTTTTGTCTCAAGGTACATAAACATGCATAATAGACTATTCAGCAGAGAAAGTTGTTCTGCAAAATTTACTAATGATTTCATAAATGGATATTAGCTACTAAAGAAACAGGCAACAGGCACCAACAAATCCAAAATCAATGCACCTGCTTTTACAGAGTAGTGATCTCTTAAACATCCATATACTACTTGCTTTCAGTAATGGGGAGGTACACACCCTCTGCAGCCAACCATACATTATCCGCCCGCTTTTCTCTAACGCCACAAACCTAGGCAATCACGTGGAAATGGTCAACATATAAACGAACAAGTAACAAAGGACAGAAAAAACTTCCGAAGTACATATAATAGCCTGCTCCTTCACCATTAACAATTTATTAACAGAGACTCGTGTTTAAAAAGCTATAGAAGTAGGCTTTCACACTCGATGATTAGCCAGCTAGCAAGTGTTGAATATTAGTATTGTTAAACATGATGGAAGACCAATATATTCTTTAGTATGGAATTTAAAATAAAGAAATGCCCAACTAATAATATAATAATGCTATATTAATTATGATATATTTCCATTCTCACCTCTTGCTGTCCACCAGCTATTCTGGAGTATTTCTTGTCATGGCTATGCAGGTAGCCACCAGTGTCAACGTGTTGAAGCCGAATCCTTTGATCTTGCTTCCAAGTCTTTCCACTTCCCTCAATTATGAGCCTGAGAGGATCCTCCAATAATGAAACACCAGCAAAACATATAACCAAGAATGATAAACATTACTTTGACAAAAGAAAAATTTAGGCCTCACCTCCAGTAATCTCCAGTATCTGATTCTGATTCTCCTCCGAAGCAGCTGACCTATACCCAACATTGAGAGGGTAATCATCAGTAAGCCTCAGTGTGATAAAAGAAGGAAAGAATTTCATTGGGGATGGTCTCAGGCCTAGAAGTGCATCAATTGATGAAGTTTGGCTGCTGAAACATATGAAAAATACTAACCTCAAGATTTCCTGATATTGGCGATGCGTGCAAATGGCTATGCAACCATTTCCTAGTCCTCATATGTTGCAATCTAATAATTGCTCCATTGGGGATGGTGTCTCCTTGTTTGGCAGATGTATCGGGTGTAGGCCGAACAATCTACAAAGCATAGTCCAAATGTAATTGGGTGATTAAAAAAGCTCTTATTATGACTCTATTAAATGAGAATTTGGCGGTAAAAGGTACTAAAAACCACACTCTGCCAAGCTTATTCGACTTTCAAAATTATTTCAATCACCATGGAAGAAAAAATATCTAGGAAAAGAAAAAGGCACAAACCAATTCGAATATGGTAAAGGAAGAATCTCATGTTCTTGAACCATGTCGATATTGATTCTAACGAAGAACGCCATAATATCACCAAATTCACAGGGTTAACTAGTAATTACTTGAAACAAACAAAATGTTAACCATAAACTTGGAAAAAATCATTAATCCATTATATTAACCGTTATCAAATAGTTTGATGACATAATGTATTTTAAACAACAATAATTACAAACGTTACCAAAACTACATTCCATTAAAAGACTAGATCAGAAGATCAAGCTGGTAAGAGAGAGAGATAGAGAGTACCCAGTAGCTGTTGGAGTCGTCGACATTGGGAAAACCGGTGACGGATTGCTGTCCACTCCCTGAACCGTACGGTACATCGTGCGAATGAAGCCTAAATTTTGTTTTCTCGTGCATCAGCTTTAAAACCGTCCCATAAGTAACCTGCTCCATTCATTAATTTTAATTAATATATCAAACAAGGAATAAGTGGAAATAAGTGAAATAAGTGGGAAAATGACGTTTAAAACCTCGACGTTCTGGGATGAGGAGGGGGAGGAGGAAGGAGAACCTTGATCGAAACTGAAAGTAAGGAAGAGAGCAAGACCAAATAACCCCACCGCCATCAAGAACAGCAATCCAATGAACCAATTCTGTTGCCAAAATGGGTAATCAACCTTTGGATTGTTTCTAAAATGTTCCCTCTTCTCTACGCTGCTCGGACCTGAACTTGACGATGACGACGGAGATGGCTTTCTGCGACGAACGTCTTGCGTCCCCGACGTCGCCACGGTGGAAATATTTTTTTCAGATCTAACGGAAAATTAATTGCTTTCTACAGCGAAATTACTTTTTAACGGATCTGGTTGGGAACGGGCGGTCATTTGCTTTGGGAGGAGGTGGGAATTGAACTATGAAGTGGAAACATTTCTTTGACAGTTGACACGTTGTCGTGACGGTTTCTATCCAATAAAAAGGTGAGATACGTAGAAATGATGGCGTGGAGAGTTTTGGTTGGGTGGAAATTAACCCTTGACTTGACTTGAGAATTTTGTCTTTTTGGGTGGAATCGGGTCCTCGACGAGACTGCCAAGAAACCAACATTTATTGCACCGGTTTGAACCACACCTACGGGCCGTTCTTGGTTTGGGCTTTGCTTTTCAGTCTGTCGAATTCCAAATTGATCCCTGTCCAAGTTATTACAAACATATTACTGATGGCTGTTTATAGAATTGGTTTAAGCTGGTGAATGACCGAATCAGTCTTGATACGGACTAACGAAGATTATAAGTTGGATCAAACTTTTGTCTATTTAAATTCATCCTAAAAATTAAATTCCTTCATCCATGTTCAATTCGATTTAAATTTAATTTTTTTAATCGAATTTAAAATTCAATTCGATTTTAAATTAAAAATCTACACTCAATCCAATCTAAATATAAACATAAATTTTACTTTTAGTAGGTAAAACAATTGTCTAATAGAAAAAAAATAGGGTAAACTACTTATTTGATTATCTACTTATTATTTAGTTTTTATTTAGGCATCTAACTATTATTTTTTTAAAAATTATATATAATGATATATTTTAATTTTGTTTTGATTATTCACCGTTAAAAAATTAACAATTATATTAAAGTGTTACCATAAGATAATATCACATCATTTGATATTGGTCGTAAAATAGTGGATGTCGATGTCACCATAAGATCAAGTGTTAGGCCCTTTTACTAAGGATCGTGAGTTTGATTCATCCTAATTATACATACTGAGTTTGTAGGTTGAATTGAGATTTAAATGTTAAACCTTTTCCATATCAAACCCAATTTTGGTTAGTTTGTACCATCAAACAAATAAAATCAATGTAATAATTTAATTTGTTGACTTGACATATTAAAAAAACTTGTTATCATGATACTATATTAAATCACATTAATATTTAAGTACATACGAATGCATCACATTAATAATAAATATTAATCATTAATCTGGTTTTTATCCAAACAATAATTACTTAAACCAAAGTTGGTACTAAAGTGTTTAAGAAATTAACTTCTAACATTTTAATTTTTGGGTAAAGTACACAAATGATCCCCCAACTATAAGCTATTATTTTATTTAGCTTCCAACTATAAGATAACACTTTATTGAGCTCCCAATTATTAAAAGTTACAAAATGGTCTCTCAATTATGGATAGTTACTTTGTTGAATCCTTCGACTATTAAAAGTTACAAAATGGTCATATTATCATTCTTTACGTTCCAAACTCGTTCTTTTCCGTTAAAAAAATTAAAATAGTCTGAGCTGGACGTTAACGAGTTTTTGAGATATGATAAAATTTGATCTCATATTTTAGTCCGCATGTTAATGTTTAGTTCAGACGACCGTTAATTATTTAACGAAAAAGGATGAGTTTGGAACAAAATGAATAGTCAGGTGACAAGTTTGTAACTTATAATAGTCAAGAGACTCAGCAAAGCAACTCTCTATAGTCGATGGACCATTTTATAACTTCTAAAAGTCGGAGGACTCAATAAAGTAGTATCTTATAGTTGAGAGATAATTTGTGTACTTCACCCTTATTTTTTGTTAAAATGGTCTATGTTGGATGTAAATTTTTATTTGACTATCAGTCAACGCATATTTAAAAAACTTTAAACCATTTGAAAATGAATGCTCATACACCATTGCAGACGTCATGTTTGAACCTGAGACTTCAATGGATAACAACAATCTCTTAACTACTAAAAACGCTTGGTTTGTACTAATGAATCATATCTTAAATTCAGTTATGTGACATAATTTTCTTTTGGTGTATTCAACATGAATTTAGAAAATTTTAAAATAAAAGTATCATATTAGAGCACGTCTCAAAGTTTAGAGGTCAATCAAGTAGTTATCCCAAAACAAAAGTACATGACTTGAGGTTTAATGAATGTATCTTAATTCGGCATGATTTTTTTAGTGTATTTAACATGAATTGTGAAGGAGAAAATACAATGGCTGTCCATTATACTAAAATATTTCAATAGTAATAATCAAAGAAATACTTAATGCTTGTAATAGAAATAAATAAATTCTCAGTACAAAGGGGTGTAAACGAGCCGAGTCGAGCTAGAGTATTGCTGAGCTCGACTCGAACTCAAAAACTTTAAACGTAAGCTCGACTCGACTCGAAAACTCGCGAGCTTAAAATTATTAAGCTCGACTCGAACTTGAAATATATTTTTGAAACTCAACTCGAACTCGAAAAGGCTCGAATTAAAAAAAATAAGAATTCAATTAAAACTCGAAACTCGATTCAAGCTCGACTTTGAGCTCGATTCAAGCTCGAAACTCGAGCTCGATTCAAGCTCGAAACTCGAGCTCGATTCAAGCTCGATTTTGAGCTTGATTCAAACTCAATTTTGAGCTCAATTCAAACTCGAAAATGGGTTAATTTTCAATTGCTGAAACCCATCCCTTTTATAAACTCGACTTTACCCCTTATTCCCCAAAACTACCGATGTGGGATATCCCTCTTTCAAGCTAAATATAGTATACTGTGCATCTTCTTCTTCCTCCTCTTCTTCTCTCCCGAAACTCAACGCTCTGAATTAATAAATCCTGGTTCCAAACATTCCACTTCCAATTGATCTCCCATGAATTGCAATAAAGAAGAAAAAGAAAGGTGTCAGCAGCTATAAGAATATTTATTCAAAAATCTCCCATGGATTGTCTGGTACTCTAGTTCGCGAGGTCCCGAGCATTATTGGCGGTGGCAGTTTTGTCCAGCACAGGGATGTTTCACCATCTTCATGACGCAACCATCATCCCAACTCTAATCACCTTCTCTTTGCCGACAACTTTCATGGCAACGCTCTTCCCCGTCGGAAGATGCCGGTTCATTGGTGCATGCTTTCTTATATAAGTTCCCTGCTTAATATATACTTCCTTTTAGCATATTTGTTGACTGTAAATTCTGCATTTTGTCCCTTTTTCGATTTACAGACATCTTTTATATTGTTGGTCACTTATCTTTTAATAACACACAAATTCTTCTTTTGTTGCTATAATTCGTATTTCCTGGTTTGAATTCATGCTTATGTTTTTGTTTTGAGTTGTGTGAATCATTTGGTTGTCATTTTTTTCTAATAAGAAACGTCTTTCTCTCATTTAAATTTAAATTATATTTAAGACTCATTTGTTTGGTCTCTATATGTTTAACAGTTGGGCAAGTGGAGCCCTTGATCCTGAGAGAAACGAATCTGGTGATGTTGTAACATCTGTAAAAAGGTTTCTATATATTTATAATGCCATTGTAATGTCTTAGCCCTTTTACTTGCTGACATATATCAAGTATCTCCCATGTGTTTTTTTATAAGGGTGTATGGGCAGTGATTGCAGTTATTTTTGCTTATTGCTTGCTGCAGGCTCCTTATACGTAAGTTATTAGATTGATTCTCTCTATAGATCTTAATCCATTTAATTGTTTTACATGGATTCCTTACTGATTTGTAGAAAACTTTAATGAAAACTTTCATGGCATTCGACCAAGCTCGTATTTTCTATGGAGAAAAGCCGGTTAATTGGTTTTAGCTTTCTCGGCCATTTTTTATAAGGTAGATCTATAGAAAGTACTTGAAAGATATAATTTAAAATAAACAGACGATTATAAACAGTGTCGATATTCATCATTAAGATATGATAAAATCATGTCTCAATCAGCAAGTTGTGTATATTTATTTTGCATGTTGATATATTTATGTATAAGTATGCAAATGATTTATTTAGGAGTCACATAACATCATTTTGCATAATTTGTATGTTACCTTCATGTGCATAACTTAACTCTTATCATATAACTGAGTTTAGGGTTTAGGTTTTAGGGTTTAATGATTATAATTTAGGGTTTAAAGATTAAGATTTAGGGATTAGTGTTTAGTGTTTATGGCTTAGGGTTTAGGGTTCATTGCAAATAGTCAAATACATTAATTAATCGACTTGGTAATGATTTATGAGGTAAATACAATATAGTATCTTGATATTAAATGCTCAAACCCTTGATATTTGAACCCGAAACCTCAAAATATAACAACAATTTAAAAAATTAGTTATTAAAAATATTATCATTAGAAATATATTAAATATTTGTCATTAGACAAATAATTTTTTATTAATTTAAAATAAATATAAGAATATTTATTCAAAAAAAAATTTAACCATTTTCAATTTTTCTATTGTTTGGCTATTTTTTTTATTTTTTCTACGTTGTCAAGTACTTGTACAGTAAAAAGTTAAAAAAAGAAAGAAACAAATCAACCAAACACGTGTAATTTAACATGTGCCTAATTAAATGGACTTTTATTTTCTTTTTAGTAATATACAATGTAACAATTGGACTTGGGCTGGTTAATTAAAAAAAATAAAATTTGATGGTAGTTGTATTATAGAATTTTTTATATATTTTTAAATTTTTATAATTATCAATAATGTATTTTAAATATGTTTTTAATAATGTAGTTTTAAAAAATCTAAAATTATAATATAAAATTTTTTCGACTAGCTCACGAGCTTTTCGAGTCGAATATCGATTAGCTCGTTTCGGCTCGTTAAGAACTCAAGTCGAGCTTGAGCTCGAGTCGAGTCCATTCGATCCGAGTATTTATCGAGCATTGATCGAGTCGATCTCGAGTAGCTCGCGATCTGTCTCGTCTCATTTACAGCCCTACTCAGTACTACTTTGCCCCCTTTTTTGCATAATTGTAAGGGTAAACTACATGGGAGACCACCAAACTATGCTCAATAATCAATCTGATCACCACACTTTTTTGTCTCAATCAGACCACCAAACTTTTTAATTAATTCAATCAGACCACCGCGCCGTTAATTTTTAACAGATGTGGTGACGTGTCCGTTAATAAATTAGCATAATATATATTTGGTCCTTAATATTTACATATTTTATCAATTTAGTTACTATTTTAATTCAATTAAATAAATTTAACTATCTAATTAAAACGTGACACATGTCAATATATGACTGAAAAATTTTATTTATGAATTTCAAATTATTTAATTAAATACTTTTTCTATCAAATCAGGTGACAACACGTGTCACCACCCAATTGAAATGAAAATAAATGGACAAATTTATGCACAAGGTGAATCAAACCAAGGACAAGGAGATAAAGCTTTCATGCGGCAAGCCATTGGGCCAAAGGTCTCCAATGGTTTAAAGTTACAACAAGTTTTATTTGGCTTGCAAAAGTTTGTTAAGAATAAAAAATTAAACAATTTTTTTGTTTAAACAAATTATTATTTAAATTAATTGTAAACTATTTATTTGAATTAAAAATATTTAATTTTTATATAAATTAGAAAATATTAAAAAAAATTGTTAATTCAAAAATTTGACCGAATTTAACGAAATTTGTTCGGTTAATAATTTTTAAATTAATTCGTTTTGATTAATAATTTTCAAATAAATTTTGGTTCGATTAACCGAACCGAATTAACCAAATTTTTGCTTCGATTAATTATTAATAATTAAAAAAATCGGTTAATTCGGTTTCGGTTAATAATTTTTAAATTAATTCGGTTCGGTTAATAATTTTCAAATAAATTTTGGTTCGATTAACCGAGCCGAATTAACCGAAATTTTGCTTCGATTAGTTCGATTAATAATTAAAAAATCGGTTAATTCGGTTTGGTTAATAATTTTCAAATTAATTTTGGTTCGATTAACCGAACCGAATTAACCAAAATTTTGCTTCGATTAATTCAGATAGTCATTTTTTTAAAAAATCGGTTAATTCGGTTCGGTTAATAATTTTCAAATTAATTCAGTTCGGTTAATAATTTTCAAATAATTTTTTTTTCAATTAACTGGATTTTTTTCTTTAACCGTTAATCGAACTAAATTTATTTGAAAATGATTAGTCGTGAATAATTTATTTAATTAAATAATTATTTGTTTAAACAAATAATTTGTTTAATTTTTTATCCTTAACAAACTTTTACAAGTAAAATAAAATTTGTTGTAACTTTAAACCATTGGGAACCTTTGGCCCAATGGTTTGCCGCCGGGAAGCTTTATCCCCTTGTCCTTGGTTTGATTCACCTTGGGCATAAGTTTGTCCATTTATTTTCATTTCAGTAGGGTGGTGCCACGTGTCACCATCTGATTGGATAAATAAATTATTTAATTAAATAATTTGAAATTCATAAATAAAATATTCTAATCATATATTGGCACGTGTCACGTTTTAATTAGATTTTTAAATTTATTTAATTGAATTAAAATAGTGACTAAAATGATAAAATATGTAAATATTAAGGACCAAATATATAATTATGTTAATTTATTAATGGACACTTCACCACATCTGTTAAAAATTAACGGCACGATGGTCTGATTGAATCAATTAAAAAGTTTAGTGGTCTGATTGAGATAAAAAAAGTTCGGTGGTCAGATTGATTATTGAGCATAGTTTGGTGGTCTCTCGTGTAGTTTACCCTAATTGTAAATTACATTTCTGGCAAAAATGTACTTTCAGGGATAATAAAAACTGGAAAGCAAATCAGGCAACAATGTATTCAGCGGTCTAAAAAGCACAACGTTGTCAAAATCAAAAGGCGGATCTAAAGTACGTAATTTAACTCAAATTCACGAGCACGGCGGAATCCGAGCACAGCCTTGCTGGATTCTCCTTTAAATCGCACAAAAATACACAAAAAAATTAATTAACGGCAGTAAGAAAAAAAGGGGAAAAAGTATATAATTAATTTTGGGTAAATTCACAACTTTCTCTTTATCGCTACGGAAAAAACCCCGAAAACCCTAACTTCCTCTGGAGTAAATCAACTCTCTATCTCTCGATGAATCGACCTTTCGTATTACGTTTTATGGATTTACGCAAGAGTATCTAGGTTTTCAACGGTGTGAAATCGAGGCCTCCGACTCAGATTTAAAGGATCTGTTCTGTATATTTGCGTACATATATACATTTTTTATTGTCAGGAAAAAAAGGTATGGCGGCATCTGAGAAAGAGTTGGAGCTACAGTTAATGGAGGCTGGAAACAGGCTCGTTGAACCCCCTTCATCAGTTGATGAGCTCATCCCTCTTCTTGACGTAATCCCTAATCCCTCCTTTTACTATTGTTCCTTAATTCCGTTTCGCTCTTCGTTATATTTTTTTCGTAATCCGTTATTTGCCTGGTTTTGTTATGGTTCGTTTTCGAATTATTTTTTTGTGGTTTTCTCTATGCTCTTAAGTTAGCTGGATTTCCCCAATCGTGATATACTTTTACCTTTGTTCTTAGGGATCTTTTGCTTGGTTTTCACGTGCTTAATCGCTTAATTTTGCTTCCACTTTCACTGCTATAAGATTGAATCAGTTTAAAAGTGTTTTCTTCCAATGTATATTATTTAACTCCCTTATCTATCGTAACATTCTCTATATATCAATGTATGTTGTAGGTAATTTCCACGCATATGTTCTCGAACTTGTTGAATTACCATTATGTTCAACTTAATTGCTTTACTAGACTTTAAACTTTAGCATCTATTTTTTTTCTTTGGACGGAAATGATATGCAGTAGCTAATATTTGGATTAAATGATTTTAAGTTTTTAATTTCTTTCTAATTAAAAAATGCTCCCTAACTGCATTTAAGTGATTGTGCATGCGAAAGCGTGCATTTTCTTATACTTTGTGGCATAACAGTCTTATTTCTTCCTGAGGCAAATACCATTTCCAGCTTTAAGTTTGTGAAACACGGGGAAATGTACATAATAAATGTATCGTCATTTTTTTGGTTTAAACAATCAAGCACCCGCTATGTTTGGCAATTAATTTTTGACAGGCCAGTTAACCTTTTTTTATCAGCAACACGTGATGATGTTGAAAGTATTGCAAGTTAATATGGAAAGGATGTGCAGACATTCCTCGTAAGGAAGGATTTTGTTGGGCATCTGAGATTATGTTTTATTGAATAAAGCTTATATGTTAACTTTTATTTTTATTTTTGTTGTAAATATCTTATTTGTTTCCTTAGAGGGGCGAAGTATAGCAAATCTTGTTATTTTCCCATAGCTTTAGGAAGATCTATCCTGCCAATGTTTCATCTCAGGTAACCAAGTTATTAGAATCCACAATGAATTTTAATCTAGTAGAAGCTCAAGTCCATATTTGATACAAATGATGATAACATTGAAGAAGACTCTGGAATCATGATAATCCACACAACTCAGTTGCTATCCCCTGTTTAGAGAAAATTATGAGTATTCGTGATCTCTAGCAAGAAAACTTTGAAGTGGATGTGCAAAAAAGTCATGCTGGGGCCACTTTTTATTTTCCTTTGGTAGATTGTTTGTTTGGAATCAATGTCTCCTTTAATCATCTGTGTTTCTTAGGGTTTGACAACTAGTTTTGCATAGATGGATGCAGTAAAACCTTGCATCAGTTCTATTGTAGAATGACCCTAGGGATATAGTAATATACCGAATTGCAGTGTGTTTCCATTGTAGAATGATTGCCTGAGTTTTTAGGTACTTTGGCATTCCTGTATTTTTTTATGCTATATTCTTTTAAAACACATTTTAAATTGACAACGGTTGTTTATTCCTTTCTATCATCTATGAATATAGCAAGTTGAGAGTTTTCTTTCAAGGGTGGAACAATCACCGAGCCAATCAATGCAAAATGCACTGTCTCCGTCACTTAAAGCATTGGTTGCAGAGCACCTTTTCAGACATCCTGACGATGATGTCAAAGTTGCAGTTGCTGCTTGCATCAGTGAGATAACAAGGATAACTGCACCTGATGCTCCTTATGAAGATGACCAAATGAGGGTATTTTGAATTTATTGTTTTGGGATGTTTATGCAGACCACAATAATTTTATTATTGTTTTCCGCATTTGAAGTATTGATTGCCATTAATGGTATGCAGGAGGTGTTTCAACTGATTGTGTCATCCTTTGAGAATTTATCTGACAAGTCCAGCCGCTCATTCATTAAGAGGACCTCAATTCTTGAAACTGTTGCGAAAGTCAGATCATGTGTGGTGATGTTGGATCTTGAATGTGACGATCTTATTGTTGAGATGTTCCAGCATTTCCTTAAGGCAATAAGGTAATTTATTGATCGGATAGTTCATTTTCTCCTTGAGATTTTTTAATCTATATTTTGCTTCAGCTATTTTATACCACCTACCATATGGCTTGCAAGTTTTCAATTATTTTTTAAAAGATTATTTCTTTTGAATATTTTCTTCTCTGTTCTTTGTCTTTGTCTCTCACGGATGAATCTATGCCTTTGCTGAAGATTTTCCTTTGTTAAGTGATGAGTATGGCTGCTATGAATTTTTAGATATTGGTTTAATCTAATAAACTGCTATATAGGGTTTTTTTTATAGAAACTATAAAGGTTTTTGAATAATGAAGATTATGCCCCCTCTCGAGTGTCTGCACTTAAACCTCCCATTAAGTAGGTGCCCATGTTAGATAACACTTTTCAAGTTCTTGCTAATCAGCACAAAGTTCAAGTTATTTTTCAAGTTCTTGGTTGGTTTAGTGTTTAATATAGCTTTTTTCTCAACTTGGATTTCCCCCCATCATTCTAATGTATTCATCCAAATCTAAGGCTACTTAACTAGAGTGTATTAATATCCTGAAAAGTATAATAAAAGTGGTTTTGTATGCTATGCAGAACATATATTCTAAATTTCTGATTTCCTTGTCATTCATTTTGTTTACAGGGATTATCACCCGGAGGCTGTATTTACATCAATGGTGACTATTATGAGCCTTGTACTAGAAGAGAGTGAAGACATCCCTATGAAGCTGCTCTCCCCAATCTTAACTAGTGTAAAGAAGGATAATGAGGTCTGTTTTCCTACTAGTGGCTTGCTGCATTTCACTTTTGCAATCTTGCTTAATTCACCTAGGATTTCTAATTCCTCTCAGGAAGTTCTTCCTGTTGCTCAGAGTTTGGCTGAGAAAGTGCTCGAGAACTGTGCATCAAAGCTGCAACCGTACCTGACCCAAGCTGTAGAGAACATGGGAATTTCTTATGATGATTATAGTAGTGTACTTGCTTCTGTATGTCGAGCGACAGCCGGTGTTGTGGAACAGAATGATGCTGCCACTGGAAGACATGTGGTAATTATCTCATTTGTATCTTAACGCAATTCCATTATTACAGATTTCTTTTTGGTTGAAGGCAATTATTTACTCATTTATTCTGGTTTTGTATGATTTTCTGCTTAGCATTATTTGCAGATAGATTATATGCTCTACTCAATCATATAAGTGTCAATGCTTTCTATTTATTTTGTGTGTTCAACGCTAACTTGGTCTTTTTGTTTTTGTCCTTTTATTTTTATTTCTTTCAAACTATTCTTCAAGTCAAGACAAGTTTTTGCCTTACGCTGACACCTTAGTGACGTCTTTTATGTTTTTGGTGAACATATAGCTGATTTAGTCTAATCTTATGTTCCTTTTTATGGGTTGATTTGCTGCAGGATGATGAAAGCATACTAGTGGAGGCACCTTCAGAGAAGGCAGCCCAGGTATCGCTTTTTTTTTTTCATGAATTTATTGTCAATTGTCATTTTTTTCTGTAAGTGTGGGTTCAAGTGTTTTCCTTTTGTTTTATTGTACTCATTGGATTTTTTTATGAGAATTTAGTGCCAGAATTTTTTTTTCGTTTATAATAAATCTTCAAAATCTCAGGAGAATAAACAGATTCCTGAAGAGGCAGTTAAAACTGAACAAGTGGATCTTGCAAATGAAAAATCTCCCAAGACAGTTTTTTGTAATGGCACTATGCAAACTGCTGAAGAGGACTCATTGGCTGATTCAAATTCTGTAAAGAAGAAAGAGGGCGACCGTATTGCCAATAAGTCCAAAAAGGATAATTCAACTGTTGCCGAACCCGATATATCAAAAGCCGAGGAAGTTGTCAATTCAGATCCTAAGTTAGAGCAAAGTACCCAGGAAAAGGAGAGGGAATCTGATTTAAAGTTAAATGAACTTTCTGACAGCTCTCATGTTGATGAGAAGGCAGTTGAGGCCTTAAAAGATCATAAAAATGACAGCAAGGATGACGCTGGTTCACGTCGTGAGGTTGTATCTGTTGATGGGTTTGTATCCTCTGAAAATAGAAGAGAAACAGATGTTCCGCATTCCTCTCAAAAAGCAACTGAGGAAGAATCAACTGATGTTCCTCATTCCTCTCAAAAAGCAACTGAGAAAGAATCTACTGATGTTCCGCATTCCTCGCAAAAAGCAACTGAGGAAGAATTGACTAATGTTCCGCATTCCACAAGGGCCCCAAGGTCTAAAAGGAAAGAGAGTGTGAGCAAGGAAACTGTCTCCTCTTTTGTTGATGTCTCTAAGAAGGCACATGAAACAACTAGTGATTCAGAAGCAAAAACAAATAGACGAGGAAGGAAAAAAGTTGCTACTGTTGTTTCCAATGAGAATAATGCTCCAGTTGGTGTAGATGAAACTAAGAAAGAAAGTGACACTGCAAATGATTCAGAGGCAAAATCACTTAAGAATTCATCAAAGAAGGTAGATTCTAACAGTAACAATGCAGATGAAACTAAGAAAGAAAGTGACACTGTAAGTGATTCAGAGGCAAAATCACTGAAGAAGTCATCAAAGAAAGTCGATCTTAGTGGTGACAAGGCAGATGAATCCACTTCAAGGCAGCTGACAGATAGTAAAAGACGAGCTCGGGGAAAGGTTGTTCCAGAGAAGGATAGAACGAAAACTTCCACCAAGAATGATGAAGAGGTACTTTGTTTTTGGCTTTTAACTTGTAATTTTGCTATTCTAGTGATATTTTCTTAAAAGCTTATGATTTATTTGTTTAGCCGTTCTAGTTCCTATAACCAAGGAATCATTTGTGCTTATTATTGATTTAGGAAGTGGTTGGATCTCCAAAATCACCGAAGCCAAACAAACAAGATTCTCATATGGAGGAGACCCCTAAGGCAAATTCCAAGAGAAAGCTTACCCCAAGTAAAGAAAAAGTAATTTCTTTTGCACCTTTAAAGATCAAACTTTAGTAGTGGTGTATTTAAGTAAGGGTAGTGTCAATGGTGCTGCGATTATTCATTTTCCTTTATGTATCCGTGTTACTCGTGTCTGACCCGTATCTGGACATAAATATTGGCATATGTTCTTTCAAGGGCTGTAAATACATGGAAAATTCGAAAAAAAAATAAACATACTCCCTTCTTACACTCACACCTGAGTCTGAGTAAAATAGACCAGTGTTATAGGTGATCTTTGATGATCGTTGTGGGTTTGAACTCTCTTCCATTATTGCATCCTTGATCATTTTTCTATTTAGATGCCATTTATCTTTGCTTGCTTTCTTCGTAATTTTCAGGTTGGCTTTCTTCTGAATATTCTTTAGATCCTCATATTGCTTCTTCTGCACTCATGCTGCATTTAACCATCTGAGGTCCTTCATCTTTCAAGAGCCATTTAACATTAGTTTGATTTTTCTGTGAGGTTCCACTTTTGTGTTTCGTTGGAAACAATAATCCTGCAATGCTGTCATTACTCATTCCTAGAAACCCCAGCAAACCATGCTCTGCTGCACAACCATTACATGCAGTAAACCTTTTATTCAACTCTGTTTTGTTTGCAAAATAAAAAATTTGGAGGATATGGGCTCAAATAGATCTGTAGTAAACCTTTATTCAACTGATCAACTCTGTTCTTGAATGCTGCAATCAAAACATAGTTGAAGCAGTGATATTACAGATCATTCTTCTTGTTAAACCTTGGAGCTAATATTACATATCATTTTAATGCTGATTCTTTTCAGGCTTCTGATTCTATGGAGTATGGTGAGAATCTTGTCGGCTTGAAGGTGAAGGTCTGGTGGCCTGCAGACCGTGAGTAAGTATATATGTTTTACAATTGTTGCAGAAATGATACTCTGAAATAGAAATCATGAATTTTATTTGTTCCTATCTTGCCTTTGATATGAATGCTTGTGTGAGCAAGTATCTAATGGGTAAATTTGCTTTATATATGTGCGTTGGGTAAATTTGCTTTATATATGTGCGTTGGGTAAATTTGCTTTATATATGTGCATGGGTGGAGCCACGTCACGAACTGATATATGCGGTCCCTACGCTGTCTGTATGTCTAACTTTCTGCATAATAGTTAGTCTCAACTTCTAAGATCAATGATTTAAATTTTCTTTCTAGCCTTGAACCTTCTATCATTTTATAATCCTTTTTTACCTTGTTCTCACTCTTGAGTCTTATATTAGCTCCAAGGGGGAGAATGACATAATGTGTTCTCTTTCAAACATGGCATCTGTGCAAATAAAAGGACTGTGTAAAAAGGTGGTTGGAATCTGACGCTAATAGAATCGATGATGAAACTAAAAATCTTGGCATTGACAACCACTGGTGGCTTTACCTATCCTACACAACAAACTCTTGAAATGTAACACCTACAAAAAAATTGAAGAACAAGGATAATACAGAGCGCAATATCTGATGCCGACTATTCCACCTTTTTAATCTCGTCTGCTTGAAGTTTGTGATGGGAAACGCCACAGAATACATTACTAAATTATTTTGAATGATGCTTTTGGTGCCACGTGGTTCTTTATTTGTGACTTGTCTGGAACTTTTTCCTGGATGGTTAATTTACCTTTTAATTCTTTCTTAAAATCACATTTGTAAAACACATATTGGAGATTCTCTTTATACGAGAGCTGAATTATGACTCAATTCTCTTACTCTCTCTATTGTTGTTATTGTTTTGCAGGTTCTATGTAGGTTTTATTCATTCATTTGATCCCTCAAAAAAGAAGCACAAGGTGACATTTCAAATAAACAGAAGTTTCCTTTAATGTTTTTCCTTAGTATGTTATGTGAGTTTTCTCCTCTGACCATTAGTGCTAGTGTTAATTATTTTTTTTCCTTTTCCATTTGGTTTTAGGTGAACTATATTGATGGTGATCAAGAAATTTTAAATCTTAAGAGAGAAAAGTGGGCGGTGATTGAAGATGAGTCTGGGTCAGATGAGGTGGGCACTTTAGTTTATAGGTAATGAAATTTTATTTGTTCACGTTCTAGGTTGCTAATATACCTCACTGAAACAGGAAGGCGCAGATAATCATCCAAGTCCTGATGGTTCATCTGACATGTAGGTGATTCCTATTATGATTCTTGAATGTTAACTTTGATTGCAACACCATATTGGTTCTAGAAAGTTTGTGTATTTTGGCATTGTGCTATGAAACTTTTGCTTGGTTGGTTTCTGTAGTTCAATTTGTTTCTTTTTCCATTCTGTAACAATGTTAATTTTATCTGAATGATGAAGTTTACTTCAGTTTTAGGTATTGCATTTGGTATGACTTTGTATTTTCCTGTTGATTTCTTGGGCCTTTGGTTCATTACTGTATCGGTATCGGTCTGGTCTAATCTCCATTTCCCCTTTTTGACCATTTTCCATTATTAGGCCTCAAGGGAAGAAAGCAAAAACATCTGATCTCTTGAGCAAGAAAGCTAAGACGGATGCTTCACCAAAAAGGTTACTAGATTTTTTCAAATGGGACCCTTGATATGGCTCTTTATTTGATTTCTGAAAATCCCATTATTGTATGGTCAGGGGCGGAGGAACTTCGACTGGGAAATCCAAGGGTGCTGCCATGAAGTCTAGTCGCAAAACAAAGGATGAAGCTAAAATGGATGGGAAATCCATAGATGGGTCCAAGAGTGCGACTAAATCAGACAATGACGGTGTTGCTAAATCCAAGGATCATACCCCCAAAACTGGTATTAAATCAGTTGATATAGCTTCTAAAGTAAGTAACAAGTCCAAGAATGAGAACAGTGGTGATACACCAAAGTCTACAAAATCCAAGGATGATGGAAGTGCCACACCAAAAGCTTCCGCAAAGTTAAAGCAAGACGCTTTAAAGACAGCCAAGTCGAAGCAGGAAACCCCAAAAGTTTCCCCCCTTTCTAAGAGTAAACCTCTTAAAAGTGGTGGCAAATCCAATGCTAATGGCACTGTTAAGTCAAAATCTGATGCATCAAAGTTGAAAGAAAGTGAGAGCACGAAAGACAACTCAAGTGATTCAGCAAAAGTTGTGGGAAGTGCAAAGCGGAAAGCATCAAGTTTGTCCAAGGCACGGGGAAGTGATTCCAAGTCTGGAAAAAAGCGGCGAAGATGAGCTAAAAGTAGGGCATCAACTGCATTGTCATTGCCGAGGTTTGCTTCTTGCCGAATGTGGAACTTGGCTGAACCTCTAGTATTTTGCAGCCAGTCTTAAACGTGTGGATGGTGGGCCATGCAATTGGTATTTAACCTAGTTAGGTTTGTGGGTAGCAAATATTCGTAGTTAGTGTTTTTCTTGTTCTCATGTTATTGATGTGGGCATTAGGATTACATTGGGTTAGCCTTTTTCTCCTTGTACCAAAGTGTTGCTTCTATAGATTAACATAGTAGATTCGAGAAACTTTGTGGAAGCAGTGGTCGCGTTTCTTCGACTTACAGTAGAAATCTTTGACATTGGCGAACAACTTAACAGATTGTAAAAACCTAGAAAGTGCAAATTTTGGTACACGACCAGGTATTTTATAACCATTTAACTTTTTTAATATTTTATCGGTGTTTAAGCAAAGAGGGAACTCGAGTTCTAAGGGATAAAGTATTATTACTGGGCTGCAATCCCCGTATGCCCCCGACTTTGATGTCATGCAAGCCAAAGTGGCCTTTACCTTTGTAGTTTGATTTTGAAAGCTCAAAATCCAATATAAACAAAACATTTTGTGCGGATGTATGGTATGGAGCTTCTCAGTTTTTGGTGTATATCAAAACTTGTTTACATCCATCAAGAAGCATGCTAATAGAAACAATGCACATCTGAGCACTTTTCTCCATTTCAACTGCCATTTCTCTCCCCTTTTTCCAATTAAATAATAATAATAAAGTCGGAGGGAATTACTGAATGTACATTAAGGGCAAAGGGAGTTTTGATTAAACTCCTGATTATGCTAACCTCAGGAGAACACATTTTGCTGTTTCCTCAAGTGCTTTCTCCTTCTTCAACTGATCTTTTATGAACAAGAAACTGATAAAGACAAATTAAAGAACAATGACCTGATTCTGCCCATTAATCAAAGAAGTAACTTCATAATCCTATAGTAAGCTTGAACATCATGTAAAATGTATTCATTGAAAGGAAAATAATGAATTGTTACATGACATTGTGCTCCTTAAGTTTCATCTACATCCCCCTCTTTGTTCTTTTCTGGATAAGAAAGCAAACCTCCTGCTTTCTCCGAGCAAATGAGCAAGTAGGATTTGGTGATGACAGCAGGAAACCTTTTGCAAAATCCATAGAGAAAGATAATTATAAGAGCAGTCCAGCAACTCACTCCCCAATGTATTTCTTTCTGATTAGCCGCTTCTAACAAGTCTCACAATCTCAACTACAAGGAAACAAAGAAAACATAATGAACGGGTCATGGGAATGTGGATGACGCTTTATCTCACTGAATTATTGGGTCTTGGATGTAACCATTTCACCACCTAATTATTCTTTCTTTCAAATAAGAAATTAATGGATCAAGACCTGCATCTGTCTTCAACACATTTTATTTCTTAATTATGAACCTTCATGTTATGCTGAAGAATCACTCGCCGCATGCGCTATCACTCTTTCTATTTCACATGATATCATTTTGCTCATATTCCCTGAATTTGTTGATTCAATCATTGCGCCACTTTCTACTTAGAACTGGGGATTTTTTTGTTTCTGCCCAACAAAAACGATATCAGGAATTGCAATTTGCACGTTCTTTCTGTCTAATGAATTTTTTTTTTATAAATTCCATAAGACTTTTAGTATGACATGTGATACATAATAATATATATTATCATGAAATAAATATATCAAACAAATGAAAATGAAAATGAAGATTTTAATTTTTAATTTTATTTTTAGATTATAATATCCCAACTTAATTATTTAGTCAGCCAATTATTTGAAGACAAATAACTCGCCAATTAAAAACCTTAATCATAATTAATGTTAAACTACCAAAAGAAAAATGCATTTAAGTGACAATAATGGAATGGTAGACCAAATAAGAAATGCAACCAAACAAGTCATGCCAAATAACAAACAAAACAACTTTGATTATTGATATATCCCTCTATAAGGTAGTTTGGTGCAACCTTTTTCTCCAAAGTATATTTTTGGAAATTAATGTAATCCCCACGACTTATGGGGACCCCATACTCAAAAAGTCCTCTTGACATGGTAAGAAAAGTGGGCAATAAAATGATGATTGTCTCGCTAAAATCAATACATACTTGTTATATGATTAATATTATTCATAATTAATTAAAAACTTATTTTTTTAATAATTTAAGGTGATTATAAAATAATACTTATTTGAATATATTTTTAAAATTTATTAATGATACATACGCATCCTACATATACAAAGATTTAAACTTGAAACCTTCAAAAAGAACAATATCATCCTTCATTATCTAGGTCATTCAAAAACCAATTAATATAGTAGTTTCAAGTATACTCGTAAAGGATTTGTTCATAAAACCAAAATCTTAACTTTTGTTTATCTTTATTATTTGTATTAACATTTCATATAAATAATTTTGATTGTACATTTCAAAGTATCATAACGAGGCATGATAATTTGTAACAAGTGGTGAGAATCTTCCTATTGTTTATTAAAATTGTATATCGACACATTCAAATATAAACAATGATTGTGTTGTCTGTACCCAATAATAATATTCATTATTATTTCCAATTAAATCTTAATGATTGGGTTTAAAAAGGGGAATATGTAGTAAGAAAATCGAAAAAATATTCATTATTATATTTGATTATGGTTTTATTTTTTAACACTTTTTATTCAATTTAATTTTGTTCGTGAACTTAAAAAATTAATATTTAGTTATTTTTATTATTTTTTAAAAATTAAAAATACTATAGAGTAGTTATATATTTTGTGAAAATTCAATGCAAACAGAAAACTAATATAAGAAGCAAAAGTGTTACTATCTGAACTTATTTAGTCTTCTTTAAAGTTATTATTTTGAACAACTACATTTGTTAGTTGTGTACGTATTATTAATGATTAAAACATATTATAAATAAATATCACCTTATAATCGTCATATGTTAATAAAAAAATGCTATCATCTTACTGAATGTCAACAAACCAATTATTTTTTAAAATATAAGAATGAATTGAAAAATAACTTATAAAATACAAAATAAATTATTTTAAAAATATCAAAATATATGTTTAATTTATAATAAATTTTACATTAATTTATTTATTCTACTTAAGTTAAACACAAAAAAATATTATTTTTTAAATAATCTAAAGTAATTATAAAATAATATTTTTTAAATTTTTTCTTATCTTATTGACCGTATACATATATCCTCTAAAAATAACTATTCGAATTCAGAATTATAGAAAGAATAATATTTTTTTATTATTAAAACCGGTTGTTGAAAATACAAAATACTTGGGGAAAAACATTTTATGAAACAATCACACCATTAGAAAAATCCAAAATCCAAAAAGAAAAGAGAGAGTTGCTGCAGATGAAAAAGTAAAATTGAATTGTCCAGGAGAGATGTGTTGTAACCCCTTACTGTAAACACGTCTTCCTATATAAACATTATTGAAATATTATGGTGAGATACGAGGTTCATTCCGTGTGCTGTTTCGACAGCTTCATGTATCCAAAAGACAATACCAGGTGCTCCAATGGCGTCTTTTCAATAACCCTTTTGTCACCTATCTTTCCCTTTCGTACCGTTCCACTCCACACTCTTCTTAATCGAGTCCCTTTCATCCCATGGAATCATTGAGAAAAAAATCAGCATATCCTCCATCCTTTCTCTGGATTCTCTTTCAATTTCAAAACCACCCGAAGCAGCCTTGAATGAATCCTTGAGAAAGTTGTGTAGGGAAAAGAAAAAGGATCCATGGAAGATAGGCATGTTTTGTTTGGGAAATACGAGATGGGTAGATTGCTGGGGAAAGGCACTTTCGCTAAAGTTTATTACGGTAAAGAAGTAAGATCGGGTGAGAGCGTGGCGATAAAGGTGATCAGCAAAGATGAGGTGAAGAAAGAAGCCATGATGGAGCAGATCAAGAGAGAGATCTCTGTGATGCGCCTCGTTCGTCATCCAAACGTGGTGGAACTCAAAGAAGTCATGGCTACAAAGACCAAGATCTTCTTCGTTATGGAATATGTCCGTGGCGGCGAACTATTTGCCAAAGTTTTCAAAGGCAAACTCAAAGAAGACGCTGCTCGTAAGTACTTCCAACAACTGATGAGCGCCGTCGATTTCTGCCACAGTAGAGGTGTATCGCACCGGGATTTGAAGCCCGAGAATCTCCTTTTGGACGAGAATGAAGATCTAAAGATCTCTGATTTTGGGTTGTCCGCCTTGCCGGATCAGCTTCGCAATGATGGGCTCCTCCACACTCAGTGTGGGACTCCGGCATATGTTGCACCTGAGATTTTGAGGAGAAAAGGCTACAATGGATCCAAAGCAGATATCTGGTCTTGTGGGGTTATCCTGTATGTTCTACTCGCAGGTTTCCTGCCATTTCAAGACGAGAATATCATGAAGATGTACAGGAAAATTTTCAAGGCTGAATTCGAGTTTCCGCCATGGTTTTCGACTGAATCAAAGCGTTTGATCTCTAAACTACTTACGGCTGACCCTGAAAGAAGGATAACAATTCCAGCTATACTGCGTGTCCCTTGGTTTCGAAAAGGATTTACACGCCCCCTTGCGTTTTCAATCGAAGAACCAATATCAGATACCAATACAGAAGATGATGATTCCGCTGCATCTAAGTCTAACAAGCTATCGTCTCCGAAATTCTTCAACGCTTTTGAGTTTATTTCCTCCATGTCGTCAGGATTTGATTTGTCGAGTTTGTTCGAAAACAAGAGGAAATCAGGGATGATGTTCACTTCAAGATGTACAGCTACTGTCATCATGGCTAAAATCGAAGCTGCTGCTAAAGGGTTGAACTTTAGGGTGGGAAAAGTCAAGGACTTCAAGATGAAGTTACAAGGATCGTCGGAGGGGCGGAAAGGGAAGCTCTTACTGACGGCGGAGGTGTCTGAGGTGGCACCGGAGGTTGCAATCGTGGAGTTCTCCAAGTCTTCAGGGGACACATTGGAATATGTCAAGTTTTGCGAGGAAAATGTGAGGCCAGCATTAAAGGACATTGTTTGGACATGGCAAGGCGACAACTTCAACAACACTAGTAACGTTCAAATCGAGGGAGAAGAATGTGAAAAGTGAAAAAGTAGGTGCCAGCCTCATACAGTCTAACCTTAAGCATAGAATAAGAAAATTTTCTGTGTTTTTTCCTTCTATTTTGGAATAGGTTTGAGACTGATATTCTGTAAATGCATATGCACTGTGCTTAGTACATCAATCTATGGCTTGCAAGTTTGAAGTTTGCATACAGTTAATAGATACTACCCGTGGCTTGTTGGATGAAAAATTCTTTTAACTTTTGTTGATGGGAATTAAATAGAGTCATCGGTTTTGTAGCAGTTTACCCCTCCTAATTTAGGGGATAATTGCGGTTGTTGAAAGAGTTTTATGGACGGTAATCGTTACAGACAACGAAAAAGAGATATTTTTGTGGGTTGAATGATTTTAGAAACCCATAGAAAGTAGGATCGAGCGAGAGAGTAATCATTTTGGATTATAAATACCCCAATCCCAGGGTGACCAATAACATGCCTAGAATCATCATGACTGTCAATAAGGTCATCAACTCACCATAGTTGTCAGTAGGCTCTCGGTTCATGCAGTTTGTACAGATACAATCATCAGTCATCAGGTTTAGTTGTCAATATCAAATTAGAGGCTAACGAAAGGGAGCTTCAGGTGATCATCTGACCAAGGCAATCCTGCCATTCCCAGAGTCTTGAAGAATTCTATATGAAGTTCTCCGTTAGACGTAATTCGGAATGCATTCCAACCATGTATTGTTCTAAAGTCTTGTACCCTGATTACTGATTGAACCCAAATAGTTATTTTATATACGACTCTTAAGATTCAGGTAGATCTTTCTAGGATTTTCTGATAAAAAATTGACAATAAAGCACCGAAAGTTATGTCATGTTAGGTATTGGTAAATCAGATTTTGGCACGTTAATTATAAAATTATTGAAAGGAGTACCTTTGAGATGATGGGTAGTTTGCATGGAGTGTAGCTTTTGCCCTCACTGTCATTGTCTTAATTCTTTCTATGGTTGGCGGAAATCGTGACGGGTGTTCAGCCCACATTCACTTAATTCTAAATATGAGGGACAAAGGTGCTTAGGTGTTGGTTTAAGACCAGAATCCAGAAGGCGTTAAGAAAAGACATGGAGAAGGATTGTTTTCAGGCTTTTGGCTATATCAGAAAGTCACCATTAAGTAGTTAAATGTATGAGAACTAATAACCACTTGACACGGATAAGGATACTTGAAAATGGGCATTTATCACATGAAATACAGTGCATAGAGGCTTCTTGATCTTTGATCTTTTCGAGAGATGAGAAAATTGGAAGCCCAAACTTTGGCATACGTTTCCTACCTTTGACTGCTTCAAGTTAGAGATTGGATTAAGTTGGACTGAATTTTTTTCATTCCAATATGATTCCATGAGTATGTTGTTTTCACCCTAACCCAATTCAACTTAATTTTTTGGAATAAAAAAATGTTATTTAACCCGATTCGATTCGACCTAACATTACATACATACTTATATCATTTTTATTTGGTAAAATAATATTTAATGAAAAAAATTTCTTGAACAGGAATATTATAACAATTTTCTTTAAATTTATAAAATAAAATTATACTATTATCTTGAGTCGAGTTAGACCGAATACTATTCCATACTAACCTTAAATTTGAATTTGACACGACTCAATCTCAACATCTATAAAATCATGTCCAATTCGACTCAAATTATTTATTTTTATACATCCTATCAAAGCAGGTCGATGTCGGTTAAAATTCTCATCCCTACATGAAGCTCTCGCATCATAAAGAAAATGTAACTAGAATTAGTAATAAAAGCACAGGTAATTGGATGGACATGGAGTTGGAACTTTGAGCTGCAAGAGATATGAAATGGGGCTTAAATTTGTGTTTGAAACTTTAAAGATAAGAGCCCCCACCAAAGTGTGCCAACTGGGAGCGGGAAGATTAACCATGTTAATCAATTAGACCCATTAAGCCTGAAACATCAGAGAGGTGGCCACTAGGAAGATAGATGAAGCATCTTCATAGGCCCAAAATGGAAACAGAGCTCACCAATGCCACTTGTTTTTAAAAACTGGGTTGGGTACGGCTTTACAGTTTATTGCCCAAAAGAGCGGTCCAGAAATGGACAGTAACCACCCAAAATTTACTTAATGCCGCTATTCCCACCAACCTCAAAGACAACAAAAGAAAAAGAAAACATAAACAGTGGGAAAGATGATGCTACTAACCCAATTTGCTTTTGCCTGGTTCACGCCCAACACTCTTCCCATTACAAATTTGGTGCACCCCACCACTATAAACATGGACAAAAGTTGCGGTAACGGGAAGTTGTAAATCACATCATCATGATGACCAAATCACACAAAAACTAAGAAAACCCCTAAACAAAAACGATTCCCACTTACTACTTTGTTCTTGTAAAGTGAATTTCGTTTGCAGGTGTTTATTTTTACGTAAGATTCTAGTGCGTCAGCCAACGCATGTCATGTTGCTGATTTCATGAAGGGAGTTAGGTTAATGGAAAACGATCTAATAACAAAAGTGATCTAGGCCATGACTTGTGTCCTCAAACCTAAAGTTTGTGGACATGTGTTTGGGGGGGGGGGGGGACAAATTCTATTGCTCGACTTTAAGAAACTTGCAGGTTCCACTTGCGAAGCAGTTAATTCCTAACAAATAATTCGGTGGAGCTTACAAGGGAAAAACACATTAGAAGTGGAGGAGATGAGGCAATAACAGTTCAATTAGTTTTAAAAGAAATGGTAAAGAGAAGCCAGGTTTTGTCATTTACTTTCGTACCGACCTTTGATAAACAAATCAAGGAAACAATGAATGGTATATTCCTACACGCAACTTTTGTATAATTGTATCGACGCTGATCAATCTTTGGCCACACATTGGGGGAGTTGTAGCACCTCCTATCTCTCATTTTTCCAGCCGCCTAATCAACCTACTTGTTCACATTCTACCAAATTTCCCCTCCTTCGTCAGAAATTGATGTTTGACATTGCCGACATCTCCGGTCTCGGCACAGTAACTCGCCCTGCGTATTGGTTAAGACTGGACAAAGTTGGAATTTTGTCAAAAATTATTTATACGATCTAAATGTCACAATATTTTTTCGCGTAATATATTGAGTAATACTCTAATACTAGTGTTTAATTAACTTGAGTGTTGAAGTCAGGGACGAATGTATGATTTAATGTTAATGGATGAACTTAAGTGAAAATAAATTATTAATATAAAATACATAAAAAAAATTTAAAATATAAGAGAATTTAAAAATTTCAAAGGAGGTAATTGTCTCTACCGATCCCCTAAATCCATCTATGGTTGGAATATTGCAAAATCTAATCCAGCCCTTGTTTAACTTTAAGCATTTATCCTGGAAATTAAGGGTTTGGTCTCGGAGAAAAAAAGCAAAAGAAATGGTAGGTTATTAAAGGAAAGGGAGTAGCGCAACGTTTTCAAACCGTGTGGGCGATTAGTTGGCTTTTCAGTAGTCAATGAGACGGAGACCAAGAAATTGTAAGCTTAATTAAATTCTACCTTATCTCAATTCCCACGTCTCTTAGTTACAAACTAATTTATTTATCTATTGAATTTCTCGATCAAAAGGGTTTCATTTACGTTAGTATACAGTTATATTAATTATACATAGTTATAAATTACAATATTATGAACAAAAAGAACACGTTAGACACGTGACAAATGGAGTCATATCATTTATAATTTTTTTTTTGAATTAATCATTGATATCTGATATATTGACCGACTAATTCAGATTGGATACTGTAAAGGCGAGAGATGCCCTCTCAACCCAGTTTGCTCTATTCACAAATATTAATATTCGAACCTCTGACATTGCTTAAGAGATTTAATGCCCCATCGTACTAAACTGGTTGTTGGTAGTATTTATAATTTTTTATATAGAGGGAAAAATAAACGAAAGAGCTGGGAAAGAGGGGGCCAAGGAGGTGAGCTGGCCTGAAAGCGACATAGTCGATTAAGGTCAACAATCAACATGACCAACCTTCTTTTAGTCACCGAGCCTTCAAAATCTCCGCCAAATTTTCTTTTAGGTAAATTATATCTCTAGTCACCAAATTTTGAGAAAATTTATATTTTAATGTTTTAAAAATTATATTATAATAATTAATATTATTAACATATCATAAAATATCAATACGTTGTTAATCTTCATAAAATGTAACACTTTAAAAAGTAATTTAATTTGATTTTAAATATGATTAAAACATCAATTTAGTTTTTTTATTTTTTAAAATTTAATTAAAAATAAAGATATATACAATACCTTTCAAATACCATTACTGTCACTATTACATTCATCATTTGGTGAGTTCCTCGACCAAAAATGGTTTTCGATTTTCTCCCCTTTATTTTCTCAAACTTCTTTTTTCTCTTTCATTCCTTATATTTTATCCTTATCTTCTCTCCATCAGATTATTTTGTTAAATCTCTAACATTTTGTTACCTCCATAATACTTGAGCAACACTTGTTTAAATTGATGGTTTAGCTCTTGTTTAATGTATAAATTAGATACTATATTTTTTTTATCAAGGTGTGAACATAAATTAACGATATCATAATTATTTGTGATTTATCGACAACATTAATGATCAAAAATATTTTTTAAAACTTTAATGACTAAAATAAAAATATGTAAACTTCAATAACCATGAGTATAGTTTGACCAAAAATGATCACATCTCCTGATCTCCTCGTGGGTGAGTGGTGATGGCGGGGGCTTCACTTTTGACTATTGACCTTGACATCGCCTCTGAAATTTCAATATTTCTTTACTCGTACTAAAAAAAAAATCACAAAAGCAAATTTTATCATTTTTTCTTCGAGTATTTGTCTGTATGAATGTAGACAGGTTGGCAACGCCAATGGGTTATTTCCTCGCCTCATTTCCACCGAGTTTCCTGGATAATAAACCAAATCCTTTTATATTTTATGCACTATATATTTCCATATTCCTGGCCTCTGGGCATTAATCTCTCATTCTCTTCACAAGTCCTCCCGACTCACTCTTCTTCCTCATCATCTTTTTTAGCTTCACCTCGTCTGCTCTCTACTTGCTTTGCTTGTTGATTTCTGTCTGTATATTGTACAGTTCAGTAATGGAATCCGCTTGGGTGAATACGACGCTGGATCTCAACATTAACCCTTTTGATCATTCCAACAAAGCTCTGGTGAGTTCGTGTTATCATCACTTCAGGAGATAAATATTTGTTTTTTTTTTGCCTCGGATTAGTGGGCTTATAAAAAGCTTTTGATTTTTGGTAACAGAGGAGAGAAGCTGATGGGAAAATGGGCGACTTCGATGTGAAAGCCCCAGTTAAACAAGAGGTCAGTTTCTGGATAAGTTCGATCGTCTTTGAAAACTTAAAATTGGATTTTATCACTCCATGTTTCGGTACTGATATTTGGTTTTGATTGTAACAGACTGGAGTTTTGGTGGAGGAATTGAACAGGGTTAGCGTCGAGAACAAGAAGCTAACTGAGATGCTAACGGCTTTATGCGAGCACTACACTTCTTTGCAAAAACAATACAAGGAATTGGTGAGCAAGAACACTGAAACTGAAGTTGCAGCAACATCTACAAAGAAGAGGAAAGCCGAGTGCGAAGATTACAGTGCTACCGTGATTGGCTTCACTGCAAACGCTAAGAGCGGCTGTAGTGATGAAAACTCATGCAAAAAGCCCAAGGAGTGCATTAATGCCAAAATTTCAAGAGCGTGCGTACGCACAGATCCTTCCGATAACAGCCTGGTAAGTCCCAATTTTATTGCCAGATGAAATTAATTAGCCTCCGAGGTATTAGTGATTCTGAAAATTCTTGTTATTGGTCTGTGTTGCAGATTGTGAGAGATGGATATCAATGGAGAAAATATGGTCAAAAGGTCACAAGAGATAACCCTTCCCCCAGGGCTTACTTCAAGTGCTCCTTTGCCCCAAGTTGTCCGGTGAAGAAAAAGGTGCAAAGAAGTGCTGAAGATCCTTCGATCTTGGTCGCTACTTATGAAGGAGAGCACAACCATGCACACCATTCGCCGGCTGCATTACCATCGTTAAGCCCCGTTAATAGTGGTTCCACCACACCCAACAACCCTCGTTCAGCTCCTGTTTTTTCTTCTTCCTCATCCCCCGCCAACTCTTCGGCTCCTACTGTAACTCTGGACTTGATGAAACCAGCTGGATCGGATGATGGTACAAAAAAACTTACCCAACAAGTTGATCAACCGGCAATTCAACAGATTTTGGTTCAACAAATGGCGGCTTCTTTGACTAGGGACCCCAATTTCACAGCAGCACTAGCTGCAGCCATTTCTGGAAAAGTTCTAGACCAGAAGTGGTAAGATTCAACAAACTTGGGGAGAATTCCATAGTTCTTTAGTTTTATTTTTTTTGTTGAAATTGGTAGAGAGAGTCTGAATTGAACTGATGTAAATAGAATATTGAATCTAATATAAAAAAAAGTGAAAAACTAGAAGAAGGTAATTCTTTTCTTTGCCCAAGTAATTTTCAGTCTGTTCTAGCTGTTAGTAAGTTGAAAACGCCCAATACTTCACAAGGGAAATTCATTTGCATACCGAGAAACTATTATAGCACAATGAACCGACGTTATTAGGTAAATTAATTTGCAATTAATTAATTATCATCATAAAAGGATAAAAGTTAATTGATTATCTAATCTTCTTATAACTTCTAATTTTCGAAATTAATAAAATTTTCTCTTTACCTATATTTTCTTCATATAAAATTTTGATTTTTATTTATTTATGATCATTATCTGAATATAACCTTCTCTTTATTGCATTGACAATGCGTCTTCTCATTACCTCTAAATTTCTTAAAGGAAATCCTTTAAATTCAAACTTTGCAGCTGATGATGATTTCCAGTCTATTTATTGTTCCTTAGCATAGTCAAATAAACGTCCTTGTCCGAAACATAATTGAATCAGAAAATACTCAACACGGGCGAGAGGACCGGACTCTACCCCTCGAATAAAACTTTTAAACATCGAATCGGGGTTAATTACATCAGACCCAAAATTGTAATAAAATTTTGTGAATCAAAACGAAAACAAAACAAAGCATGATTAATTCAAAGCTCAATTATAATTAGAGGTAAATTAAGATGGATGTTGTTGGTCTTTATTTATTTATTTTTGTCGAAGCAGCAGATTTCGTGTATGAATAGGATGCTATGGAACAACCAAATGTAAGTGTTTGACCTGTTCGAGCTACCATTGACTGACAGTTTTGATTTTATATATATATATATATATAATTGAACATAGACATTATTTATTACGAACATTATCATTTTAAGTGTTTCGACAATAACAAACGTTGAAAAATTTATTAAATGACGCATGTCGCGTTTACAAATTTTTTAAAATTTTATTTAAAATAAAAAACTCAAATTTTTTCTCAAATACCATAAAATATGCAAAATATTAAAAACCTTAATTCTAAACCTCATATACCAGTCATCGTCGTCGGTGTGACAGCCATTACCCTGTTCCCCATCATCGATGAATAATAACCCTATCCATTGTCGTCCATCAATGACTAGTTGTCACCACAATTCCCTAAATTCGTAAATTTAGATCTTTAAAAATTCCTTATATCCTTCTGATCGATTGTTTGGACAGTTATATTCAACCGACCATTTGATCAACCGTTTCTTATTCAAATAACAGACGTTAATCTGAGGTGGATTAGGATCTGCCAATGATGATTAACGCGGGAGAAGGGGAACATGGGAATAAGTTTTTTTTTTAATATTTTTAAGTAAAAATTAAATTTTCAAAAAGTATAAACATGATATATTTCATTTAATAGAATTCTTTAACATTGGTAATAGAATTCTTTAACATTGGTTAAGGATGAATCATTTAAAACGATGATATTTGTAATGTTCAATACTTATATTTTCTGAAAAAAATTAAGATATTTAATATTTATATATATATATATAAATTTATAGTTTAAACATTTTTTATATTAAGTAAAAAAAATTAATTAATAATACTTGATAACACAAGCGACAGTCTAACAACAGCTTTACTAAAACCCAAAAAATAGAATTGGACAAAACAAAAGAAAAGGGACAAACAATCCACCATGGGATGACAAAATCAAGAAGGACATGCAGCAACAAAACCAACATTCATCGTCAGCCAATTGGAATGTGCTAAGAGACCTCTAAGCGAGCAAGCCAAAAACGAACTCCGGACAGCCAAAACTCGGCGAGAGAGCCAACCGACAAGGAAGGCCAGAGCAAACCAATGAGACGTTCAGCCACGTCAAGACCAGCCTAAAAAGAAGAAGAAAAAAGAAACCAACAAACCAGGAAGGGAAAACAAAAAGAGAGTGAGAACACATTACACAAAAAGAAAGGAAAACCATGGAAGAGAGGGTCAGCGGACGACGACCAGTTCAGAACTAATGACTTCGATAAAAAAAAAAGGGGTGTGGGGGGGGGGGGGCAATGATTGATGTAGTACTCAATCATGTTACACGCTTTGAGAACCTTCTGATATTGGAGACTTTTTTACAAAAATTAATGATAGTAAATTGTCGGGTTCATTCATCCTCTTCTAGATGATGTAACCTTCACCGGAACCCGTTTAGATTGTCATTATAGTAGGAACGTGACGATATATAGCAAAAGTTGGAGGTGCTTACTTCACCGGAATGATGTCATACATATTATCATCAATTTCCACAGTTCGTGAATCTCGATTTTATTATAATATATAAATACCCACCCCATTGATAATTCTATGAAACTCGTGATATCGACTTCAATAACTTCCAGGTTCGTCATTTCTACTTTTCTTTTGCAGCTAACTTCTTCTTTGTATCGTCTGGTTTTCACCCATACTGCCATGGATTCTCCAAACTATGATAAACAAAAGGTATACTATATTGATGATATCATCGCTTTTAACTTTTCAAGAAAGAGATAGATTTAATAAGAAAAAATTGTCAGGTGGAATCTCTGCAAGCGGAGTTGGAATGTTTGCAGAGAGAGAATAAATCTCTGGGGTTAATGTTGGAAACAATGAACAAAAAGTACAACATGCTTCATCAAGCTTATCTCCTCCAGGAATCAAACAAGAGACGAAGATCTGAAGTTCCAACCGCATCCAAAACGTCACAGGTTTTCGTGAAAATGGACCCTAGGGATCAAAGCCTTGTAATATTTCATTAACCCTGGCTATCTAAGTTTCTTTGCACTTCAGCATATTTTTATGTTACCATGATTTTCTTTATATAGATAGTGAAAGATGGGTTTCAATGGAGAAAATATGGGCAGAAAGTTACTAAAGATAATCCTTCGCCTCGAGCTTATTTCAAGTGCTTTATGGCTCCTGGATGCCCTGTCAAAAAGAAGGTATATATTGCAACATATTCTTTATGGAGTTCTCCTTTGTTTCAGATTTATCCATTGTTTCAGATTGAAAACGTGTAGGTTCAGCGATGCGTGGAAGACAAATCTTATGTCGTGGCAACATACGAAGGACAACACAACCACGATGTTGATTCTACGGCTGCCGGAAAATCATTGTCATCTTCATGCAATTCTCAGATACTCTCCCCGGCGACAGGCATTCCTTTTCCCCTTCTGGGTGATCCTTTTCGACCGACCATCACCCTTGATCTCACTCTTTCGGGCTCCGACGTCTTACAAAACAGAAGAAACCCTAGCAATGTTATGCATGATTACAGCACCAGCAGCGACCACGGCAATAACAACAGCAACAACAACAACAACAAGAACATTGAAGATTATGTTGCATCCTTAATAAAAGATCCCAATTTCACTCTAGCATTAGCCGCTGCAGTTGCTCGCTCCATCAAAACTGAAACTTCTAAACCATCACCATTCACCCCCATGAACAAATAGTTAATTGAGCAAATATCAAACATTTTCTAGTTTTTATCTTCTTTAATGTGAATCTGAACGGAAGCATGCTGCTTAGCTAGCATATGTTCCAAAAACTATTATCAAATCCCACGCAGGAAGCAATTCTAAAGTTAAGTGATTAAATTGAACATTTATAAAATTTAGTGACCAAAATAGGAGTAAAGAGATACTTTAACGATGAATCCATAAACTACCTTTGACCATCTCTTACGCATCAATCACCGATCACAACCATCTAACACGATTTCAACTCTGCATGGTTTTGGACACTTTTCTAATTTTGAATTCATTTTTGGTATTATAGATAATAAAGAACAATATTTAAATAAACAAAAATTAATTATTAAAATTTGAATATAAAATAATAAAAATTTCATTTAATTATTATTTAAATTAATTTTTACTTGCAGATATCATGTTTAAAATTGTTATTTTATTTTTTCAAAATACATTTTAATTATAGTGTTAAAATTTTAAATTATAGATCAAATTTTCTCACCACTTTTTTTTTAGAAAAAATGAGAAATGTTTTCAATTTCAACGAGAGAAAATTCTTATATTACAAAATTTTAAATTAAAACAAAATTTATGTATTAGTTATAACACACGTTGAATAAAAATTCACGTGAAATTTAATATTTATTTTTAAATTAATTTAATCTAAAACTTAATTTATATAACAGTTTTTTTAATTAATCTAAGATGATTATAAGATAATATTTGTTTTAAATTTTTTAATTATTTGACAATAAAAGGACAAACATTGTTGCAATCTTTAGCGCTCGAAAATGAAATCTTTAGACAAAACAACCATATCTTTAACTATTGAGATAATTCGTACTAAATGTAAAAAAGGTGTGTATCCTAAAATGTCATTTAGGCATATGGAACATTAGAAAAATAATGTTGCTGTTATCGTAAATAACTTTAATTATTCCCTCCTAAAACAGCTCAGTTGGTAGAACATAAGGTTCTTAACCTTGAGGTCGTGGGATCGAGTCCTACGAAGGACATTTTATAATTCGGAGGTCTCTTACGGAAGCTACTCTCAACTTGGTGTTGGGGGTAGCCTACTATCTTACATTCCCCTTACCCCATACATATGGGAAAAAGGGACAGCCATTTTTTTAAAACAGAGATGATGAAATAGTAATCGGCAAAACAAAAGCCGATTAAACCACATTTCACTCCATCCCTATTTTTTATCTTTGAATTTCCTAATTTTATGCCATCGCCACCTAATACTAAACTATACAAAATAAACGAATTTTTTTATTAATAAAAATGATTATTTCATCAATTTTTCTCTATTTTATAAATAGATTTAAAACGAAACTAATATAATAATGAGATGACTAAATAAGTAGTTTGTCCGATAAAATGAATCCTTTCCCTTTAAATCTATTTACAATTGAAAACGCTTCACTGCTGTACTCTGCCTTGCTTCATCTCATTTCATCTTCTCTGTCACTCTCACTCTCTCATTTCTCTTCTGCTTGGCAGAAAATATTATCTCAATCTCCATGCCGATGCGAATAGTTTCGAAGTTCAAGGCCCTACTTCTCTTCCCCTTCTCTAAATCCAAACCTTCACCTCTTTTACGCACCGCTGACGTTCTTTTACTTCAAGACCACGGAGAAGACCGACTTCTCCGCACGGATGGTTGCAGAGGATCATCCAACTGCTCCAGACCCTGCCGTATTCCTGCTCGTTTTTTCTTTTGCTTTAACCGTGGGAAGCTGACGAATAAGGTTCATGATGACCGAAAGAAAGAAGACCATGATGTTGCGCCGCCTGATTTATCACCGGGTAAGAATAAGATTAACAACAGCAGTTTCATACTTTTCTTATCTCCGGGATTTTGAAATCTTGCTTTCTAATGTTGTTTATTATTATCTTTTAAAAGCGGAAATATGTGGACGTCAATCTAAATAATGTGAGAATAGGGTGCTGTTTGCTCCATCTAATTGCTGAAAGTAAAGGTGAACTTCAAAAGATTACGGAATCGAGGATCCAAATGGAGGGTGTTCTTCAAACTGTCAAAGTTGGACTGCAGAATAAAGATTTACTGGTTTCTAAGAATCTTGAATCAAATGAAGGGGATGGGATCGAGGAAAGTTTGTGTTTTAACAACAATCGTATATCAAGCAAAGTATTGTTTGATCAGAAATGTGATGGTGCTCCAAAAGAAGAAGATTGTATAGAGGGAATGGACAGGCTCAAAGCAGAACTTGATGTTGAGTTGGAACGTTTACAACTCGTTTTGGATTCAGGCAAATTCCCCACAAATCCTCTCGACAAAACCATCGAGATGCAGAGAAAAAAAATGGAAAATCCTGTCTGGATTCGCATTGCGGGTTCCTCCATATGAAGTGGAGAGAAAATTGCATGAATTGCTGGAAACAAGGCAGGAGCAACAGATAACAGAGCTAGAAGCTGCTTTGGGAAGTTCAAAGAAAGAGCTTCGTGAAAAGGAAAGAGAGATTTCTCAGTGGAAAGACAGCGCACATCTCATGTTGGAGCATGTTAAAAAAACGTTCATTACCCAGTTTCCAGCACGTTCGACATGCTCAACCCCTGAGATGAGAAGAAAAGAAAAACGTACCTTGGAGATTATTATGCTTCCCCATCGTGAATAAGGTGTGATGGTGGATGTTTAAATATGAGCTGCTTGTTTTTATGTTGAAACTTCAAAAGCATTTGTCATTTGATTGTATAATTTAGTTTTTGAAATGTAATGATAAGTAAAGAACACATGAAATTAATTCACATTCTAAATGAATTGTATCACTAATAGAAAAGACTAGAGAGTTTGAAGAAAATGTAGTAGGATGTTCATACAATAAGATAAAAGATGTTGAGAATGACCCAACAACTGATACTACATTAATTTTTTCAGCAGCTGGCCCCAATTTAGAATACTTCAACCATCCATCATAAAACTACAAATTCTTTACAATTTGAGCAGTTTCTGAATCTTCTTTATAAGCATCGGCATACCCTTCTCTATGAAATAGAATGCCTCCTGTGTTTTGCAGATGAACCAGAGGACTTGGTATCCCCTGGAATCATTGAAGCCGGGCTTTGCGAACTTCCAGAGGTCTCAGAACTTTTGTTCTCCCCATGCCCTTTTCCCACAACCCACAACTTGTCGAATATTCTTCTCGATCGAGATGGCAAAAGCTGCATTCCACTTTTGTTGTTTTTGCTGTTTTTCTTGACCGGTTTACTGCCGTCCTCTTTTATCTTCATCTGTTTATTGATGGAACTGCAATCTTCAGCTGCAGATTTCACCCATTCTTGTTCGAAGTGGATCGGGAAGTGTCATGGGGATTGTTGTTAAGCGACTTAAATCCAGCTGTAGCTCTGACCTGCTCAAAGTAGAGAACTTGAACTACCACCCGAAGTGGAAGTCTATCGTTCTGTGCAGACCACACAGTTCCTTTCTTTCGGCCTTCGTCAAGTCCGTGTGCTCCTGCAGACATAATAACAAGCGTTACAAGAAACCAGACCACGTTTGTACAATATTGATGCCTTACTCCAACATCCCAACGGGCCATCTCAGGCAGCAAGAAAATTGATCTAGTAATGCGTATTTTATGAGAAGGGGTAATATATAATTCTAGAATTTGAGAAGATCAAAGAAATTGACGTCCATAATTTAAAAGCCTACCTTGAGGTACATGTCAATGGCTTTATACAGTCCATCATGAACGGTCTAGCAAACTCGGGTATAGACTGAGACAAGTCAATGAAACTGGCAAGCGAAAGAGTCGGGTCACGGGCAATTTCTTCGAGATACCCATCAATCATTTTACCAACACTCAACAAGGTTCCATGCCCCAGAATAAAATCAGTACATCCCACATCACTCTTCTCCAGATCTAAATCTCGACTAAACTTTTCATGCATCATATACTGATTCACAATATAATGCACCATCTCAACATCGTATAAGGTAGTTTGGGGAGGCGTGCTGGGATTAATAAATCCTAGAGAGAAGCTTCGTGCAACTTTAAACTTACCCTCTCCACTAAATCTTCCTTTGCCGAATCATCCACCCCAACCAAAATGGCAACTTTCAACAGCTTCAGCAAGAAACTACACGAACAACCCACGCCCTTATCCAAAGGTAATAAGCATACAATTGTTTCCACCAGCAACTTGTTTCTCCAGGAATGTACATCAGAAACCAAGACATCAACGGAATCTGGCAACCATCTGTGATCTGACAGCATTGTTTTGAGTGCTTCACCAATTATCGCACCATCCATTCTTCCCTTTGATTTAACAGCAGTCATGACTGGTTTGTAGAGAATAATATCTAGCTCGCATATATCTTCCACCCACCAATCCTTTGGGACAGATTCAATCTTTTCTCGATATTTCATACCACCCTCAACTACTTTTTCAGGGGCTGATAACTTCCTGTTATATGTGTAGGACCATGAGACGTCTGCGGGATCCACAGAGGTTTTCGATGCTATGGAATCAATGCATCTTCCAACAATCTTTAGATTCTCAGACCATAGCAGAAGAGATTTTGTAGTTTGTAGAACAATGATGGAATCTTTCCAGCTACGTAATATACTAGAGTTAAGAAATACTTCAACCCGCACAACGAGTAACCACCACATTGTAAGCATTTAAAGCAACAGTCATACCATAGCAAAATTTTGCACAAATTCAAATGCTTTTGGTCCACCAGGAAAACCAACCATATCAATTTCATGAGTGTTCTCTTCACTAGCTTTTGTAACCGATTGCTTTTAGACATTAGCGGGAACTGCAAAGGAGCATTAAAAACCACATCCAAAATTAACAATTAAAGAACAACATCCTATCTCTACATTCTAGAACTTGGTCGTAAAAGAGTTTGGTTTGGTTGAGAGAACGATTCATCTGCAATCCGACTACATTGGTAATTATGCTAAATTTATAAAATTTCGCAAAGTTGCACCCACTGAAATGATGCCAAGAAGAAATGAAGGCCAGTTGAATAGTTGTTTGAAGAAATACAACATAAAATCTTTTCGTCAGTTTTAATGGAATTTTTATATAAATTAACATGAATTTCAAAGTAGGATATAAATTCAGAATTTACAAACATATACACCTGAAAGAAGCAATTTAAAACTTAGCAGTGATAGAGCATACCTTGTGAAGGTGAAATTTCACATCAGCAACATTAATGGTAACATCTGTTGCTAAATCAGAAGTGACGTATCTGCATCAACAGACATTCGCTGTTTAATCCCACGAAGAAGAAAATTAAAAGTTAAATACATTGAAGAACAAAAAATACACAAAAAATTGCATTCATGAGCATACTAATTAGATAATAGCAAGTTGCAAGTATAACCTTTTAAAAAGAAGGAACAGGATCCTATGTTGGCTTCAAAGTTCCAAAATTTAGCTGCCTTATTAGCATATTATTATTAAGGATTCAGGTTTTTATGGTTGATTGATTTAACTTACTATTCCACAAGCCCCATGACCTCTACAAAACAAAGTAATTCATCTGAAGAATAGTAGGATTTGAAGTTAAACCAAATACACTGGTTCTCGATTGTCAAGTCTCTGATGATTGTTCTTTTCCTTTCTGGCATGGTAGCAATGATCATGCTTAGGATACTATACCGTGACATTTCCAAGTATAACGTACTTGAGACCCAGGAAGAAGCCCAAGAGGAGACGGGATGGAAGCTTGTCCATGGGGATGTTTTCAGGCCTCCATCTAATTCTGATCTGCTTTGTGTCTATGTTGGCACCGTTGTTCAATTTTTGGGCATGATACTAGTTACCATGATCTTTTCTGTTCTTGGATTCCTTTCCCCTTCAAACCGAGGTGGTCTTATGACAGCTATGCTCTTCCTTTGGGTCTTCATGGGCATTTTTGCTGGCTATGCCTCTTCCCGTCTATACAAAATGTTTAAGGGAACAGAGTGGAAGAAAGTATCTCTAAGAACTGCATGCTTGTTCCCAGGCATCGTGTTTGCCATCTTCTTTGTCCTAAATGCTCTTATATAGGGCCAGAAGTCATCTGGGGCTGTACCATTTGGGACAATGTTTGCTCTGTTCGTCCTGTGGTTTGGAATTTCAGTTCCTCTTGTTTTTGTGGGTGGTTACATTGGGTTCAAGAAGCCAACAATTGGAGACCCCATGAAGACAAATAAAATTCCAAGGCAAATCCCTGAGCAGGCTTGGTATATGAACTCAATTTTCTCTATTCTGATTGGGGGAATACTTCCATTTGGAGTCGTTTTCATCGAGCTGTTCTTCATTCTTACCTCAATCTGGCTGAACCAGTTCTACTACATCTTTGGCTTCCTCTTCTTGGTCTTCATTATCCTCCTTATCACTTGTGCTGAAATAACCATTGTGCTTTGCTACTTCCAGTTATGCAGCAAAGATTACTATGGTGGAGGTCATATCTCACATCAGGCTCCTCGGCATTGTACCTCTTCCTCTATGCTACATTCTACTTCACAAAGCTCGAGATCACTAAGCTGGTTTCTGGGCTCCTGTACTTTGGGTACATGCTAATTGCTTCATATGCCTTTTTTGTGCTAACGGGCACGATTGGATTTTATGCATGCTTTTGGTTCACCAGGCTCATCTACTCATCTGTCAAGATCGATTAATGTGTAAAACAGGATATGCTTTATGATATTATAATCTTGATTCAATGATTATATCATGCTTTCAGATAATATGATCACTATTGTTGTCATAGGTTATGATTCAAGTTAAAGATATAATCATCATGCTTTCTGATGTAAACTGTTAATTCACAATTTTGGGCCAGTTTTCTTTAGTTGATTGGAGAATACCTTCCTTTTAATGTATGTTGAGAGAAGCTTCTCGTGATTCTTCTATCAAACCACATACTGCATGTGAGAATCAAACGTGGATTTTGATTTGCATTTTATTTGTAGTGTGTTATTTTAAAGTTATTATAAGTTAACTATGTAGTATGTACCAGTTCATTGTCAAACAATTCATGTACCTGTCCACAGGTTTGAAGGTTTATCGTCAGTACCTTGGTTGATTTTAATTTTTTTTTTAAATCAAAGTAGAAAAATATGGCTACAGAAGCATTCATACCATTAGAGAAACATATTCAAATTCAGTACTGCTTCATAGAGAAAAATTAATAAAATTATGTTCAAATTCTGTAAACTGCAAGTTGTAAACTAAACTTGCTATCGGTAGCCAATACAACCAGAACTTGTGAGACCAAAAAGTGTAACAACATAATCACAGCTGGATTCTTTCAATTCCTGCTGGTGGCCGGTACAAGGAACCAGAAACTGTGAGACAAAAAAGAGTAACAGCATAAGTAGAGTTGGCTTCTTTCACTGGCTTCCAGTAGCTGATACAGCTGAACAAGAAACTGTAAGACAAAAAAAGAGTATTTATGCAATTGTTATTCTATCAACTTGGTTTATTTAAGGAAGTTACAATTGATGACCGACATAGCAGCAGATTTACAGATTCACACTACAGAGCATACTGACCACGTGACACAGCAGGTCATATGACAAAAAGAAGGGAACGTGACCAGATCATCAAATTAAGGTAGGCACTGTTGTCGTAAGCCTGAGAGGGAGCCAAAGCTCGCTCAAGGCAAGTTGAAACCAATAGAGCCTAAACCATGAAGGCACAATCCAGGCTCTGCCTTAGTGAGATCTGCAGGTAAGGTTTCCAATAAGCTAAAGCCTAAACAACAAAGCAAAGCATCACAGAAAAAAACAAAACAGATCTGGGAGACTTGAACATTGAACGAAATATCAAACCACCTCAGGCAGTTTCTAAACATCAGACCCGCCACAGGGGACATTCTGGCACCTTCACGTGGTAGCCAGATCCTCCTTGAAACAAGCCCTGAAACAGAGGATAAGAGACTATGGGACAAGTAGCTGGCAGAGAAGTTGTCTCCAGCAGCCACTATAAAGAATCACGTTAAAGAGGCTTATTAGACCGAAGAGGAGGGAAACAAACAGGAAAAGACTAAAGGGGGGAAAAAGGAAAAGGGAGGCAACCAGTTGCAAGCTGCCACATGGCTAGCAGCCCCCTTCCAGTAGATATGGATTGAGAATTTTAGTGAGAAGTTAGAGGGTATTCTTTCAGCTCGGTAAGAGAGAAAAAGGCTCCAAGTTAAAAGCATACAAATCAAAGTGTTTGGCCATTCAAATGTGAGGAAATATATACATGCTGATCCTAGTAATATAGTTCATTTAATGTTGAACCCTTGAACCCTAGCTATGAGCGACCCCTTGCGTATTTTTATAGCATAGGAAATCTAATAAAGATATAAACTGCAAACAGGCATACACTACTAGGGAGTAAAGAAACTAAGAGGTGACAAAGACTATGTATAAATATGAAACACATATCTACCACGATTAACAGGAGGATCAGCTCGGTGGCAGGTCAACATCTGAAGCATCAACCTGTAGAGGCCCCTTAAAACCATCTTTTTTATCACCGAAAAGCTCACGGGCTGCCTTCTCAAGGAATTCTTTAGCAGCATCTTGAACAGAATGCTTTTCAGATGATTGATATTTTCTCTTCTTTTGAACATTACTATCAGAGCATTTGATCCTTGGTCCCTCTCCTTTACTGATTTGCCTCATGCTTAGTCTCTGCTCTGCAAAAATGAAAATAAGAACTCTCAGAAAACAAGATGAAACCAAACACCCAAAGTAACAGGAAATAAAAAGAAAAAGTGAATTATCACTTACCAGGAGTCAGGTCAGGTAATGAATGCTCAATGAAACGGGTTGCTGCCTGAGAGTTCAAGGTAGTTGAAGGTCGCAATGGTGCTTCAAGAACAGATTTATACTTACGTAAGAACATGACACGAATATTACATTTCAAAATCATTGTAAAATCGGAAATGGAATCTTATCCTCCCTCCCGAATTGATGAAACGGATTCCATAAGTATGGCATCCATGGTAAGGAATGTGACAAAACAATGTACCTTTACTTAAGTCTATGAACCGCTCTAACTTCTCTTGGTACAAGCTTAATCTCTCCTACATATGGAAACCAAAATAGAATACAAAAGTTAAGCCAATCAGATATCCTAGTGTTAAAACAAATGAGACAATCAGCTAATGATATCCTAGCGTTAAAACAAATAATAGAAATGCTCTTAATTCTCAATAAATTAACCCATAACGAAAAGTGAAAATTTTAAGTTTGAAGGGGAAAATGCAGAGTTAGAAGACGTACAAGCTCTGATTTAATAGGATGGTCATCTGGGTGCACTCCATTGCATCTCAACCTCACTACAGAAACGGAAGAAAAGAAGCATAAAAAGAAGCTTGTAAAACACACATAGCAATAATTAACACCAAAATCGAATCTCAAAAAAAAAAAAAGGAAATTGAACTTACAGGCGAAGAGAGTAGTAGTGGCTTTGGCAAGCGTGAAGAAAGCTTGAGCGCGTTGAAGAGGGGGTATTTCAGCAAGGACATCAGGGTCAGAGAGAGACAAGAATTGGAGCAAATGGGTCCTCAGGTTTTCAACGTTTACTAGCGTTGTGTTCACTGAACTCATCACAGATTCAGGGATCGCTGAGCTCCCTCTTTCACCTCCTTCCATATCTGAAGGTTCAAACGTTACTCTCTCTCTCTTTAGTCGCTGCCGATGATTACTCTGATTAGTATGCTTAGCTTAACCAAAATTGCTAGGGCTGAAGACCAAAGGCCAGAGGTTTATTGCGGCAGTTAGGTTTACTACGATTTTCTTGTTTTCTTTCGTGTATCACCCCACCCCTCACCCGGTCCGCATAACTCACTTTCGACTTATTTAAAATAAATAAATTTATTAAAGGTATCTAAAAAAAATGAATTTACAGAGATTAAATATATAATATATAAATATATTTTAAAGAATTTTTAAAGTTACGTAATTCAATCATCTTTACGTTTTCATGTTCCTTCAAAGACAATACAAAGTGATCAATCTCTGATTACTAGCTCTTGAACCTCGGTTTGTTGGCGACTCTTTAATGATTTTTTTATTATTATTATTACTTTGCTCTGTCTGCTTGCTGTAATAGTCTCAATTATACTTATATTTTAGCTGACAGTAAAGTCTCCGCTTTTAGCCATAAAAGTGTGTCCTTTCTTCCAACACATTGATCAAGTATTCAAGTTCCTATCCAAGTGTCATCCAGACAGAATATTTGCATGGTTTTAGTAAGCATAGATGTCATACAAAACCTTTCATCATACACAGGTATAACTAATTGTCAATGGCAAGTCTCCAGAATATGAACTACAAGAAGATTCTGTTCAATAGGACTACGAAGCATGTTGTCGACGAATCTATTGAGAGGCGACCGAGTTGTTCTGATTCATATCCAAATGTGGTCATGAACATTAATGTGCCATTATTTGTTGACGTATTGGGATCAATCGAGTATTCTCTGCATTGTCAACATTAAATATATTAGGTACCACCACCAACGGTTGGAACTATTATTGGCTTCCCTCTGGCGTTGATTCATCGTCAACTGATTTAAAATGAGAGGATTGCTGATCTGCAGGTGAGGCAGACTGGATTAGTTTCTTGAACTGCACCAAGATCATGGTCATATTGTCGCAACCCTCACCGCTGGCTGTTGACGGTGCCAAGCATCTGTCGAGCACTCTCTCACAAATAACAGAAAGCTTGCTTTCCTGCATTGCATGCAGGGATTCATACCAAGTATACATGCATAAAGAAGGTGAGCAAATTCGATTGAAGAAAGATCAAAGTTAAAGAGGCTTATGTACATACTGAATGTAGTTGTTCATGAATAAAGTCTACTAGCATCTGACTTAACATGCAATCCCTGATAAAAAAAATTGAAAATACATAATATATACTAAAGTCCATTTAGTATAATCTAAATTGGAAAGGCATTAGATAAATATACCAGATTCCATCACATGCAGCACAAGAAACTCATCATCATCACAAAGCTCAACCTAAACAGATAAGTAAGATGTGCAAGTTAAATACCCAATGCTCAAAGATATATTTAGGATGATAAGCACATAATAAAGCAAAAATGGGATTATAGAGATATTTACGGTGTTTATATCTGGATTTGCGGAGACAATTTGCTTTTCAGCAGGCAAATCTGTATTCTGCTGAATTCCATGTCACCTGCAGGGAAATGGATCAATGGATTAAAGCTACATCTCTCCTTTAGGAAATTATTGATGTACTCGAACTACTATTAAAAAAATTATGGAAGTAATACTAGCACTTAGTTCCCAGCGGCATATGGCTCTCTTTAGGAAATCTAAAAGTACCAAATCAGCAAGTTCAATTAGTACCCTTTTTGTTTACGGGTATCGAGCAGGGAAATAAATTACCTATAGCCCTTGAAAGATTCAGGCTGCCATTGACACGTCCTGCGTGTATAAAACCACCGGCCTTTAAAATCCTTTCTTTCTCTGCCTCTAGATCAGGTTTGTGATCTCTAGAGAGATTATATGCCTACAAAAAGAAGCCTCATGAGGACCAAATCAAATAGATCATTCATTCACAGAGAAACGAATGTTCCGTACAATGACACGTATAATGCCCAAGTTCAAAGTACAATAGCCAGTCCATCCGCATATAATCGATAAAAATATTATCCGTTTTAGTATCCATTCAAAAAGAAACTCGCTAATAATAACACATTAACAGACTATATTACCTGACCCTTTCTAGATATCACACAACGAGAATCACCAGCATTTGCAACAAGAAGTTGGTTGTTTCTTAGAACTGCAACACACGCTGTGCTCCCAGACGTTGGTCCAGAAAAATCAGAGCGAGGGCCCTGATTACAATTTTTAAAACCATATATAAATGATACGTACAAATTGTTGCAATAAAACAAATGTCTTAATTTTACAAACAAATTAACGCAGGATGTATAATAAGCACAGGCAAACCCGCATTGTACATTTATGATCCCTGTCTCACCCGAAAAGGTAAGTGCAGGGTACACCAAATCAGATGAGAGTTAAAACGTAGCAATGGAAGCTCTATTCTTCTTTTTAGATCTAGGTTTGCATCATAGTTTGTGGCAAGCACCAAGTTTCAGTTCAGCATTAAGGACAATAAGACGTGTATATTCTTTATGTTTTCATATGTACCTCTTCCAAGGCCCAGTCATCAGCTTGGTCAATACCATCACCACCCTTCGGAGACCATATCAGTCCTTCTATCATGCCGCTAAACTTGTCTATTTTATCACCCAAAACAGCCAATTCTCTCCATCCTCTTTGTCCACGCATCATCTCATCCATTCTGCATTAAAACGTGACTTGAGTTGGAAACATATGGAACAAACAAAAGGAAAAGGGCATTCAAACCACAAACAAGAAAGGGCAGGGTCTGGCAGGGTGGGAGCAAAATGGGTAATGTAAGTACTATCATTTATGGTAAGTTTCTCCTTTCTCGATCTTCTTGAAGGCCTGAAAAAGCATTTTAATCTTTCCTGAAAGAATTCTACAAGAATGAAACAGTTCAAAGCCTTGAATCTAATTAGGTAAAAATTAGTGAAGAGTAGGTAATTTGGAGATCCATAATGCTATATAAGATTTGAAGTGCAATGCCTCACAAAAAAAATGCCATTGTTAAAGATTACATCAGAAAGCAACAACAGTCTTCAATCAGAAAAGCTAGAAAGACTGTTAAGGTTTTCATTCCTAAGAATTCAACATTTATGGTGAATGCATGCATAAGATGGAAGTTAGTTAAAGCCCTAAAAAGGAGCAGAAAGGGAAGAGTTACTTCATATTTCAAGTATCAAAGAATTAATCAACATACACGTTCTAGAACAAACAAAACGTGGATCCCCCAAATCATTCTGACATTAGAATAGCATTACTGACTTCCATAACAAAAGAAAATAGCGAAGAACAACCATAAGCTTGAGTAATCAAATTAAACAACCTGAAAAATGCTCTTTGAAGCGATGTCCCTATGTCCCCAGCTGCATATGCTTCATGCTTGAGATCCTGCTGGTGAATATACTTGGCACAAAACTTTGCAACAGCCTCGCCTGAAAAGTTAGCAATCTGGATAAGTTGAAGAAAACTGAATAGTGGCCATGATTCAGACACTTAATCGTATTTGCGTCATAATTCAGTAAAATTACAAAAAGCAATTATTAGAATACAAACACCAAACAATCATAAAAATCTCAACAGAATCATTAGAAAAGGGGAAAAAAAGGCTTCAAGATCCTTCGGTTGGTTCAAGTTCTGAAAGGAAAGAGTGCATACATGAATGGAAAACGGCAAAAGCCACTAGTTCAGACTTCAGATGATGTACAAACAAAAGCAAAACATGTATTGGGAACTGAAAACAATCATAAGAAGTACCTGAACTGAACCATCCAAGTCTTACCTCCATGACCATCATAAACACCGAAAAACGAAGTCGAATCGTCGAGATCAGGATATGCAGCATGCTAACAAAACAAACAATAAAAGTAACTAGAACATATACATAACATAACAAGAATTGAACATTTACAATCAACATAAGATAATGTCAGCTACAGCATGTACAACTAAGGGCAAAGGCCCTAATACATTTTCTTGTGTTTCTTGAGGTGGGAATGGGGAATGAGAATTACACAAAAATCCATTAGGAAAGGACTCCACAAAAGACTAGATCCCTTCACCAACACTTTAGCTTAATGCTCATTACTTATCTGTTAGAATGCAATAAATATGGTCCAACTGCTTAGAACATTTGAAAAGTTAAAATGTTTCATTTGTTACTCACAGCATCTTCCATAGTTGCACGCCATCCTTGCATGGATGATAGCCCATATCTAACCCTTTCATTCTCGCCATCTTCTGAGAATTTCTCAGTTTTGGGTGTGCTGAGATATATACCCATCGATGTCTGGAAATGAAAGAATCGACATAAGTCAGTTCTTAAAATCCAGTAGTACTACTTATAAAAAACGTGTGGCTTATTTGATCTCCCAAAGTCTTGCATCTAGAACAGTTTTAAAACCAGTAAGCCATAACTTAGTTGCTGAAAGGTATTTGATAAGCTGATCTATTAATTCAGGCATTATCAAACTGAAGGCATATGGAACAGCAAATGTCTCTCATCAGAGAAATACAGGAACTCCAATCCTAATTCAAAAGTGAATCATGAGAAAGGAAGTTGAAAAAAAGGACCCAAATTCTAGATTGAATACTAAAAATAAAAAATCACACCTCCTGAACTGGTACGAAACAAAATAAAGCCCACTATTTTGCCATTATCAAATTAAGGTAAAACATATAAAATTTTCTTACATAATAAAAAAAAGTGAAATTCCATATAATTTGATACATACGGATTAAAGAAAAATAAAATTTAAAAGAGAAACCGGGGCCAGTAGTTCCCAAAAACTAACCAAAAAAAACCCAAAAGAATTTTCTCGGAATCTGAATAGGAAGCCAATAAATTTATGGGGTAACAGATGCAGAAACTTTCAAAATAAAAAGGACAGTCACGAGAGAAGGGAGAAAAGGAAAAGAGAATAAAAAAACAGAGACTTCTGATTAAAGATCAATTCTTTTTAAATCAATAGCATTGCTGAAACCATGAACACATTTTCAAGTTCTCCATCACTCTCTGTCTACCACTTGGGCTTTACCTCGATTTTGCAGCGGCGGCGGCTGCGGCGGAAAGAAAAGATTTCAACTTGGGATAATATGTTGAAT